CTGCGAAAATGTGTAGATCATATGTATTTTGTGAATATCTGCTGACACTTCGAGGAATCACAAGATCGGTTAAAATGGGAATTTCAGAACACCATTGCAGCCATATTTTCAGAATCCCTTCAGGTAAAGCTTCATCCCATTTCAGTTTCAATTTCCAAATTTCTTGCATTAATATTTTGGCTCTTATTACAAAAGGTCCCAGTATACCTAATGGGTCGAATATCCTAGCTACAGTTTGAAGAGCTATGCGTTTCGTTATATTATGTCGGTTTCCTTGCTCTTCCATAACAGTACTGAGATCGACTCCTAGCTCATCAGTATGAATATACCATATTGAACCAAGGACCTTCTTTTTTGTAACTTCTGTATCTACATCATTACCAAAAAAATTCTTCAAAGGAATGCTATTAGTACACCACTTCCGAAGATTCATATTAGCAGAAAATAAAATTGATTTCGAGTTAGAATATATTTCTTTACCTTCATCTATCGAATTCAGAGAAATAATCAGGTCATCTACATAAAAAGATTTCTTGAGTATATTACACGTATGATTCATTTCCTCGGGCTGTTCTGATAGATGTTTCTTAAGTGTAGCAGCTAATAGAAAAGGACTACTTGTTACACCAAAAGTTACACGTTTCATCCTGTATTTCCTGAGTGGTGGTAAATTCGTTATTGACGTTATTGGGTTTTCATACCATAAAAAACTGTGATAATTCCGTACACTTTCATCCAAGCTGATCTGTAGAAAAGCCTTTTCAATGTCAGCTATCATTCCGATAAATCCAATCCGAAAATTAAGAATTATCCGTAATAAGTGAGGAACTAAATTTTCACCAGGCGATAATAAATCATTGAATGACGGAAATCCAGGTGCGTGTGCAGAACAGTCGAACACTACACGTATTTTCGTTGTTGCCTTGTCATCTCGATAAACTGGTTTGTGAGGCATGTAATAAGTATTCACTTCATCTGCTAATTCTGGTGCTATCTCAGCACAATCATTCTTGAAATATTCACGCACAGCATTATCATATTCAATGAGCTTTGAATTTTTTATCAATCGAGACGTTAAATTTTTTACACGAGCTAAAGCACCTTTATAATTTGAATCAAGTCTTGGATCTTCAATTTTCCACGGTAGAGTTACTTCATATCGCCCGTTTTTGAAACATATTTCATTGTTTATGAAGTCTACTGTAGAATTACTACATGAATCATCTTTAGTAATACCTAACATTTCCAGACTCCAAAAATTTTTCAAATCTCCATCGTCATTTGCGTTTTCAATTGTTTGCAGAGCAAGAGTAGACACCAAATTTGTATTTACTCCGAAACAATAAAAATCGCTTGATCCGTGTAAAGTCCAACCAAACTTTGTATCTAGTGCTGTCAAATTTTCAGATAGTCTTTTTTGTTCACCAGTTACTATCTTCCAGTAATTATCAGCACCGATTAATAGATTGATACCATTTTTCTCGAGCCCACCATTAGCACTAGTATCTGCTAAATGAAAATTCATAGAAAACTCTTTTATTAATGGGTCTTTAACTGATGGAGGATTGAGAGAATCAAAACATATTTCTGGAACTTCAATAGCGTTAATTTGAATCATTTCATTATTGAACTGCCCAATCAATTTCAATGAAACTCTATTACAGAGTCTAGCAGGCGATTGGCTGCTACTACCAAATGGAATGACAGAAATATTATGGGTTCCAATGACTGGTAATCCTATTCGTCTAGAAATACATTCTTTTATAAAAGTTAATTGGCTGCCTCCATCGAGTACCATGCGAATCAATGTTTTCTCTGATGAATTTCCTGATTTAATGAAAACACAAGCAGTTTGTAAATAAACATTATCAATCCGACTTTCATTAATTAGAGAAGTGGCCTGTTCTTGTTCAATGACATTCACAACCCCTGATACATTGCTTTGAGCCTCCCTTCCTGGCCTCGAATAATTCGGATCACATAAAGAAGTTACGTGTCTTCCACTACATTTTTCACATTTAATAAATCGGGACTTACAAAATTTAGAGCTATGATTTGGTTTCGTACACCGAAAACATCTTTTACTTTCTTTTAAAATATCTTTTTTCTCTGTCAGTGTCAGCGATCCGTTACAATTCATCGTATTATGAGTTGCTGATTTACAAAACAAGCAACAATCTTTGACATTCGTTATAAGTCCTGCTGCTGTAGATACATCTCGTTTAGGATTAGTGTAGAACTGTTTATTTTCGTGAAATCGTTTTTCTTTAACTACTTCTGATCCTGATGAACTCTGCGCCTGCTCTACTGCCTCAACTTCAACTTTTATGAAATTCAGCAAAGTTTTTATTTGTTTTTCATAATCATAACATGGATTATTAGTAGATATGCCTTCTTGAATTTTTTGTTTGTTAAATTCAACTCGCAAAGTATATGGCAAATTTTTCATTATCACAGACTTTACCATCAAACCATATTGATTGGCCGAAATACCCAATGAAACGAATGAACGAGTAATTGTTGACGTTAAATTGTACAATTTTCTCAACGCTGCTGCATCATTCTTATACTTGATAGGAGGTAAAGACATTATCTGCTGAACATAGTTGTCTATGATTCTTTCATTATTACCATATTCATTTTTCAACATTTCGATTGCATCTGCATAACAAGACATACTAGATGATAACCCACTGATTGTAACAGCTGCCTTTCCAGATAACAGTGATTTCAAATAATTGAATTTAGCGTTTTCATCTAAGTCGACGTTTTCATGAATTACTGTTCGATATTGTTCCCAAAAAGCAGGCCACAAAGTTATATCTCCGTTGAACTTCAATAAATCTAGTTTAGGTAATCTCACCGATTTAGCTTGATGAACATTTCTTGTGGATGTCAATACTTCACCTCCTTCATTCAGTTGCGATTCTGGGAATGGACATCCGGTATTCACTTGGGATTTCTGACTAACTACCTGCTCCATTTTTGCAATAATTGTAACGGCAGCATCATCATACTCGACTATCTTCTCGCATTCTTCTTCGATCTGGTCATCCTCAAAAGTAGGTAATAATCTTCCGTTCAAAATATACAAATTTTCCTTTGACGCTTTCACTCTTGAAATCAAAATGTTCAGTTCTTTCTGATCTATGGTACTTGCGTTTATTAATTCGTTTGCCAGATTTATCAGCTTTGATAATTGGGTCCGGTATGTATTTCTGAGAGCCAAGTCCATTCTTCTGCACGTTCGTTAGATATTCAAACCTTCCTTGGTTTCGGCACCAAAATGTGAAAACTACGTTATCTGTTTCCACTGCCCTGATATCGATCAGTTGTGAAGGTTCAAATAAAGCTCAGTTAAAACAGAATTATATTAATAACTTGACATTACATCGCTAAATTATGTGTCATTATTTTTCTACTCCTGTCTAGGATACTGGGTGATTTTCAACACTATTGATGCTACAGGTAAAACTCATGTAATAAAAGTTGTACGACCACGTCATCATCGTTGGAGGGATGTTGATCTATTCGTGCTCCTCTGCGGTATAGGATCCACTAAATCTAACGTCGACTTCCAGAAAGTAGCAGAGGTGAGGCGAGTTGCATCCAGTTTTCCAGCAGCTCGTTCAACCAAGGGGACATGGAGGTACCACCTGGATTTGAGCTGTTCGTCCATGCATTCACTGGGTGCGACACCACCTCTGCAAACAGAATCAAGCCTTGGTAGACCAAGCAAAAGTTTTCCTCCACCGAGAAGTCGCAACAGCCGGCGACAAGCACATACCACCAGGTGCATGAGTGGCTAGGGGTGGAGAAGGATGCCAACGACTTGGGTTGGGAATTGAGTTCGGCTGGACTCATCCCCATTACCAGTCGGAAAGCCCTTGCCCCACCAGAGCTCCTGAAACTTCGAGAAGGGATGCAGAGGTGGCTGCACTTGCCTAAAAGCGGGACTCAAATGTTCTGTGATGTGTGCTACCTGCTCTGAGGAAACGTGCCAGAACGCTGCCCTTATCATCATCGAAGAGGATGACGATGGCGAGAGTCAAGAGAACCCTAACGAGCCTCAAGACAACCATGACGCTCCACCAATGATGGCGTACTCACCTATGGAGGACGACGACGACGATTTACCTATAGGGGGGGACCTACCCGCCGAAGAGTCCATCGAAAGTGACGGCCCAGGGCCATCAAAAACAAGGCGACGATTCTGACTATATTTGATTGAATGATTGATCACTGTTATTTTGATTACTTATGTTCATATTAAAATACATTTCATCATTTTTTTTTCTATTACCACACCAAAAAACAAAAGATAGGAAAGGTTCTGTAACATTTCTGGAGATATGCGATTCGATCTGATATAGTTTTTTTCAAGATTTGGAGAGAACTACGAGGCCTAAAGATCCGCTGTGAGCTTAATTTGAAGCTAATGGAACGGCTTACAACTTTCAATCCATAAGTTCTACTCGTAGAATCAATGGTTTAGCCGCAATTTTGGTCTGAAGTAGGTCCAGAACTGAAATTTTCACTTTCTGAAAAAAAAAACTGCGTATATTCAAAGTACCTTAGTTTCGTTAATAATCAACCTACAGTGCTCCGCTTGGATCCAAATTGTTGAACATTTGATGTTCTTCAAAACGTATATAACATTTTTGTCGAAAAATACATAGTTCAGGAGATTTAGAGCAAAAAAATGAAGAAATTCCGAAAATTTCGCAGTTTTTCGTGTGCTACACTTTTTCCACAACTTTTTCAGAGTTGCAAACTTGGGTATACACTACCCTAATGGGTCCATACAACATACTAAAAAATCAGAGATACATCATGTTTTGTTTATTTATTGTCGATTTTGACTGGCGTGTATGTTTAATACTTGTACGCTTTTTTATTGAATACGACTGCACTTCCCGGACTTGGCCGGAAAAATGCTACTTTCTCAAAGAAAAAGCGTCCGGGAAGTGAGACGGTTGCCAAAAATACAATTTTTTCAGGCTGGACCGACTGTTCGTCCTCTTGGAGTCGGGCAGCTCGTCGGTGACGCGGTCGGCGGCGGCCAAGCAGCTGGGGGAGGTGCAGCGGCTGCACCCGCACGAGCTGAGGACGCTGCTCGGCCGCACCGCCGCCTACTTGAGATCGCCGTCGTGGGACACGAGGATAGCGGCCGCGGAGGCGGTCAGGGCGATAGTTGGGAATGTGCCGGCCTGGGAGCCGGCCGGGGTGGACGGGACGACAGGTATGTTTTGCGTATTTTCTCTCAAACAGGTCTCTCCATGTAGTGGTCGACGGAGTTTCATCTGACTCTCTGGGCGCATGCAAATCGGGCACCAAACAGGACCCTTCGCGGTCAGTTTCGAGGGATTATGAAAACTGCAATTTGGGCACCGAAGATTTAATTACGATTTAAGTACGAGTTGTGAAATATGCCGACTATTTAGTAGATACTCATATTTCTGAAGAGTCACTATTCCCACCTATTATCTGGGCAGAACATTCGTCTACCATCACTCGTACAACAAATGCTTGTGAGTCTTTTCACAGTAATTTTAACAACTCCATATATGCTGAACATCCTAACCTATTCGTTTTTGAGGAAAAACTGAAAGAGTTTCAAACCGACGCATATATTAAAATTCAAAGTGTTCAAAAACCTATACAAATCCATGACAGGAAAGTTAAAAAAGACAGAAATTTATTGAATCAATGATTAATAAATACCAAAATAAGGAAATCAATAGGCCACACTTTATTAAATGTTTGTCATTCCATTGTTATGTCAATAAATAAGATATTTAGATTCAGATATTTTGTACAATTATTAATGTAATCATAATACAATAATAAACATATTTTTGTATGCTTTAAAATAGTTTTGTATTATTTACCTATTAACCTACCCTAAATTATAAAAATAACGAATAAATAATAAGGCTCGGTGCCCAAAATGCATGTTGAATTAGTCCATTTATTGCCTTGGTGCCCAAAATGCAAACTTCCGACTCTCTTATCATAAATACTGGTGTTCCGCAAGGATCAATTCTAGCACCAACACTATTTTTACTCCATATCAACGATTTGTTGGAAGCAACTTCATGTCCAGTACACAGCTTCGTGGATGATAGTATCCTCCATACCGCCTTCTCTTCCAGGGCTCCAATACCAGCCAGGCAAATCAGAAACGAACGAGGGAGAAATGTTGACAACATGAATATGGACTTGGCAACAATTCTCGAATGGGGATCCAATAACTTGGTAGATTTCAATGCAAACAAAACACAAGCAACCCTTTTCTTTAATAAAGCCGATCTCACTGTACCCAACATAAGCTTGTCAGGAGTAACCATACCTTTGAAGACATCCATTTCGATGCTTGGTATTACTATCAGCAATAACCTTACTTGGGAAAATCACGTGAGATCAATTGCTAAAAGTGCATCCCAAAAACTTGGTTTTCTGTTTCGGGCCAGGAGCTATTTCACTTCCAGTCAGCTGCTTATGATCTATATGTCCTGGAATACTGTTTCTATATATGGAGTGCAGCTCCCTAACATACCCTGAAACTGTTGGATTCTGTCCAAAAAAGGGCAATTCGTCTCATGGGTGATGCCTCGCTCACAAACCACTCACTTCTCTGAAACACCGTAGGAAAGTTGGCGATCTGGCTCTATTTTATAGATATTTTCATGGACGATGCTCTTCTGAAATATCAACAATTGTTCTTCCCTTGGCAGTCCCCGCGAGATTAACCCGTCGAGTTGAGGCTTCGCACCCCCTTTGTGGTCACTTTGGAGACCTGCGGAACATCTCTTTCCAAAGACTCATTCATCCAACGAACAGCGAGGCTCTGGAACACATTGCCAAGGGAGGTGTTCCTTGATTCCTACCTCATTTCCCTTGGTTCTCACGATGATCTCTGAACATTACAGGATATCCCTTTTCGTGGGAACCAGAACATAAAAAAAAGTCCGAGGTCTTGCTTCTATCTACTTATCTATATTAATATATTAAAAGTATTATGATGGTCTGTCAAGTAGGTCACATTGGTGGTTATTTCACATATTCATTTTAGTTAATTCTTTCGGTTGCAGAAAAAATAGCATGTTTCATTCGGATCAAAAGTGACTTTGTTTGACATAAGACCCAAGCTATCCACTTCATTCAAACGAAAAAATTATTGTTCTTTATTTGAATTTTTGATTGTTATTCGCGATAGAAAATAGCACGTCGCCCCACCTGATGGCAGCAACTTGAACACTTCTGAGTGGTTTGTTTTGATGATATGACCAATAAGCACAAACAAAAAACAAATGTGAACCAATGAAAACAAAGTAAACATGCCGCTTTGACGGCTTTCAAGAACTCCGTGAGGTGGCGTGCGCTTATTTTCTATCGCGAATTCTTCTTGCCATGTTTCATTCAATTAACTGATTTCGACTTGTGTATGGTGTATGTACACAATTTATAGAGCTTTCATGTGTAACATATACACTGTTAACTGCCTTGTTAAAAAAATTTTAACCTTGAACTGAAACCTCAGAAAAAAAGACGAGAAAATAACAAATATGATATTTTCAGAAGAATCGGGGCAACTACTATTGATATCTGGAATTGGAAGGCTACGATTTGAACATTTCAATATGGCAAATGTGCTTGCAAACAGTACACATCTCATGGCTTCAGAGGGAAATGAATATGACGTAGAAGAAGAAATTCCCGTTGGTAAGATTAAAATGAATTATGATCGAGAAGGAAACAATTATTGACCTGAAAAATATACTAATATAGAGAATATTTATGAAAAGAAACACGGAGAGATGTTAGTTGATATGAATATAAATTCACTTTCGTATTAATAGTTCTGTTGGAAATTAGAATTGATTGTTTATTTCAGACAGTAAAGAAAAAATGGCTAAGCAAAGACAACTATTGAATGCTAGGTTGGGGCTAAATGTAGCAGCAAATATGGGATTTGATACGTCCGCATTGTTTACAAATGAAGACCTTGTAAATAACAGTAATGGCACAGACCAGCCGTTACCAGATAAAATAAGGGTAAATTAATTTATTGTAGTTGTATTTTAAATATGACACTACTGGAATTTATTTTTGTGTTTTTCTTCCAGAAAAACGTACAAGAAGTTATCTCTTTCGTGAACAAAGAACTGAGTTGCCGAGAAATGAATCGTGCCAAAAGAAAAGCTAGGCAAGCGATAAACAAACAGAAATCGAGGGATAACCTAGAAGAAAGTAGTTGCGAGGAACCCGACAAGAAAAAACTCAAAACTGAAATTAAAGAGGATTGTAATAGTTTCAATGGTAAGAAATTTCAATTTTCCCGCGAATGAGTTTTGTCAAAGTACTACAAGTCCTTCAAATTTTATCGATTATTCTTTTCACATTCAAAATGTGATGGATGTGTACCTCGTATAATGTAATCTTCCTAAGAAATGAAACATTATTTGTGTTATTGAGTTGAAGGACTATTATAGTTATTAACGTAACAAGGCCGATATATAGCAAATAACGGATGAGGTTGAACATTGTAATCCGAGGCGCAACAGAGGATTATAACAACCGAATCTGTTATTTGCTTATCGGCCGTGTGTCGTTCCAGACTTTTCGTATTCCTGCTGATAGATTACATTTTGATTCCGAGGAAAGAACAAACCATTCACCTTGTAATTCTGCAAAAAAATCCCAACATCGGACGCAAGCTGTTAACATTTACTTTTCAATTGTCACCTTAATAGGTGCACGATGACCGACCATGGAGGTAAAATATTGAAACACAACCTCACTCTTCTGTGAATTATTGAAACACAACCCCACTGTTTTTATTTGTTTACAGAGGAATGAATCAAAGGATTGAAATAGTTTTTTACAATATTTTGTCATACGAATCGTGCTTTTTGCGTTATTCACTATTTCAAGAATGCCATCGCATTGTGCTGTTATTGTACAACGCACAAAAAATGCAGCGAGAGACGAAAGAATATTATTTTTTAGGTGAATAGTAATCTAACATAGTTATCATTATGAAATGTTGTCATTCCTTATTAAAATTCCTTCTGCCCCTTCTGCAATACAAGCTAATACTGCTAATGGATTGAAAATGTCTACAACACACGCGATCATATTTCGTCAGCATGTCAGACCAGTACTCCCGTTTGATTGGATGAATCCAATATTCTTGCATTATTTTAGAAATTACACGAGTATTTGTATTAGCTCCTATTGCAGAAGGAATTCCGATGAGAAATCAGAGAAATTACCAAATTTCAAAAATGAAAACTATATGTGAGTGACTATAGTAGGTACTTACTTTTAAATCATAGTGTACCAACTGGACTCCTTCGTTTTCCGCTGCATTTTTTGTGCATTGAACAACAGCACAATATGAGGGAATGCGCGAATCAATGAATAGCTGAAAAATACGATTCGAATGCCAAAATAATAATTGTGAAAAACCATTTCAATCACTTGTAAACAAATAAGAAAAGTGAGGTTGTGTTTCAATGTTGTGCTTCCAGGGTCGGTCATTTGAAAGTTCTTGCACGCAACTCATACCTTTAAATCAAAATGAAAGTATGGGACTACAAAAAAAGGTTACGTTTTGTTTCCTGGGAGAATTAATGATTGACTAATATTTGATGTTGGTCCAAGATACCTTTTTTTTTTATTGAATAACTTGATGAAGGTTAAGGTTAGTTATTGAGAATGCTCTAGTAACTCGAGCCCAAATTCAATATCCTTTCATATGGTGTCAAAAAAAAATAGATGGTGTTAGCACCTTGTGAAAATAGACTCATTGGTATTATTTATTCACGTGTTTATTATTCCACAGTTCTTCAAATACTGATTCATAAACGATATCTTTATCATTCCAAAACCGTTGTATCCCAACTCATTGTTATAACTTATATAATGAAACCCGTCACCACCAATTCTTAAGCTATACGTAGATATATTTTACACGGTTGATATCAGTTGCATTTGAAAAATTCAAGTTTTCAGCTCGATATTTTTCAATGCGACATTGAGGAATCGCCCGCACCCATGAGGTACAGAATAGAACCATCGGTGAAACATCAGAAGTTAGCCTGATCTTCCAGCATTGAAGAAATAAGTCACGTGATATTCAATTTGAAATTATTTCAAAACTTGATCTTTCCGGTGAAAAATTCATACCTGTAATTTTGGTACGGCATCAGACTAAACTTAGCGAGATTCATCCACGCCATGTTAAGTTTATCGAAGTAGGCGAAAATCAAGGAATTGTAATACAAGAAAGGGCTGAAGTGCGTACATCAGAGGTTTATTTCATCAATCTTTCAGCTAACTGTTTCACAAAAATTTTATGCTCTGATTTTGAACGGTTTGCCAGATACGAATGGTTTCGTAAACTACTACGAGTGATTATTTTCAGAAGTATCAACATATCTCGAAATCTGTGATAAATAAAAAATCACAAAAACTCACCACATTCCTCAGACCAAAACCATTCATTACAAGCAAACTTTTTTCTGTACAAAGTTGCTCTGAAGTTACAAATTTCAAATCGTTTTTGCTTCATAACTTCGAAACGGCTCATGAGATGAGAATGCATAGCTTTATTGGGCAATAAAACCCATATTATGATTATGTTAAAAATCATTTCATGGGCGTAAAACTTTGTAAAAAAATATATATTTCTCTCAAAAATAATCATTTGTCACACCCTGTGTAGCTTGCTTGTATAGAAATGTTTTGGTCTGAGGAGTATGTGGTGAGATTCTATAAAGACCTTTTAGGGACACCCTGTAGATGAATTAGGTTGTCTCAACTCAGAAATTGAAGACCAAAAGAACCATGTAAAATATATATTTCTCTTTGAAATAATTATTTGGCACACCCTGTATAGCTTGCTAGTATGGAAATGTTTAGATCTGAGCAGTATATGGTAAATACCTTTTATGGACACCCTGTAGATGAATTAGGTTGTCTCAACTCAGAAATAAAAGGCCAATGGAACCCTATAAAAAATATATATATTTCTCTTTAAAATAATTATTTGGCACACCCTGTATAGCTTCCTTGTATAGAAATGTTTTGGTCTGAGGAGTATGTGCTGAGATTCTGTAAATACCTTTTATGGACACCCTGTAGATGAATTAGGTTGTCTGAACTCAGAAATGAAAGGCCAATGGAACCGTGTAAAAAAATTTATATTCATCTTTCAAATACTGATTTGGCACACCCTATATATCTGGAGAACTAATAATAATTCAGGTATATTGGTAGTAATCCATTATAGCAGCATACTGATTTTCAAGTTTCCAATCCAACTGCAAATTGGAAAACTTCTAATGTATCGCGTACGTGAATCACCCTGTATGCAATAATTTTATGTTTATTTGAATTTTCGAAGATGTAGAAACCGGCGATGGTACCGATTGGCCTCTCGAATGGTTCTGCGACCAGCTCGGTCAGGATTTGTTCAGTTCCAGTTGGGAGACTCGACATGGAGCCGCCACTGCTCTGCGGGAGGTACTGACAGTTCACGGATCCGGAGCTGGAAAATCTACTTATCTGTCCGCAGACCAGGTGAGTCGGGGTTGACAATGTAGTTGCCCTGCGTAGTCGAATTTTCTCATATTTATTCTATGTAGAAATAATATTTTTCAATAGATATAGTACAGCTCATGGACGTATAAAAAAGATGGACACAGCAACTCTATACTTTCAGCATATAATGTTTTGAAGTCTTAGAGATGTAGGCAAGCGGGTTGAGGGGAAGGAAAACGGTAACGATAGACTGTGCTATTTCCTCAAACGACAGCGGCGTACGAAAATGAATTATAGTGATAGTAAATTTGGGAATCCAAAATGCAAAGAGCGACTAAAAACTAAATACCAATCACAATATGACCGTTTATCAATCCGGGTCGCTATGGGATATACCTCGGGTTATACCAACTGGAAAAAACCTTACGAAGTGGACCTTGTAGTAAGGATAAGAAACAAATGTACATAGGTCAATGAATATTTAACAATATCAAATTTTCACAAGGGAAAAATTGTCTCATTAGGAAATGAGACATCAGGTATATAATTCATATATAGTGTACTGGGCATTCCATTCAATTCGCATAATTATTTATGTATACAGTGTCATTCATAAAGTCGGCATCATGTGGGAAAAACTTTTATTAATGACTTATTTTGAAATTCGAGTTGGACGTCAAGTTCTGCTTCATAGAAGATGAAAAATGGCCTACTCAATCGGGGTTACGTGACTTTCGATACATGTCAAAAGTGACATTTTTTCAAATTAATCGCTGGAAGTAGGCTTATTTGTTCGAATATCGAAAAAGTTTACTTGAAAAAGTTGTTTCTATTTGAATTTTACATATGTGACTCGGATTTTATCTTTCTATTACATCTTTCAGATTTCGATATTTTTTAAAAAATTTCGAAATTTCTGTAATATTAAAAAAATTGTAAATTCTATGAAACGACTTCATACCAGTAGCTTCATCATGTTACTAATTTTCAATTACTGATCATCACTAATTATCGACAAGAATATGATTTTCTTCAGAAAATGATAATCTCCTCTTCAAAATTCTGTTATGTTTGATCCAAACATAACATCAAAATTCTGTTATGTTTGAGTCAAGCATTTAGAAACAAAATTCATTTCAATTTATTTTTTCAGTACCTACTGAAAATATCAGTTTAAATGAATTTCGTTTCTAAATGCTTCATGATATAATATATCAACTCTGCATCAAACATAACAGAATTTGGAAGCGGGTATCATCATTTTCTGAAGAAAATCATATTTCTGTTCATAATCAGTGATAATAAGTAATTCAAAGTAAGTAGCATGAAAAAGCTACTGGTATGCAGTAGTTTCGTGGAATTAACAATTCTTCAAATATTCCAGAAATTTCGGAAAATTTAAAAAAAAACAAAATCTAAAAGTTGCAATAGAAAGATCGAATTCGAGGAGCATGTGTAAAACTGAAATAGGAACAACTTTTTCAAGTAAACTTTTTCGATATTCGAACAAATAAGCCTACTTTCAGCAATTAATTTGAAAAAATGTCACTTTTGACATGTAGCGAAAGTCACGTGACCCCAATTGAGTAGGCCATTTTTCATCTTTTTTGAAGCAAAACTCAACGTCGAACTCGAATTCCGAAATAAGTCAATAATAAAAGTTTTTCCCATATGATGCCGACTTTATGAATGACACTGTATATATACTTATTCACAATTATCATTTATATGTTTCTAATTTTATTATTGAATGTTTATTTTGGGAACCTCACCGTGAAATTGCCGTATATTCTTGAATTTCTACGTATATTGGAGCAGTCTGAAATGATATGAAATAATGATGATATGATATCCCACTGAAATTATGAAATTTCAATTTTTTACACATGCCGGACCCTCGTAAACAGTGCAAATAAGGAATGTATCTTTCATCTCCTTTCATAAATGTTAATTCCTATGAATTCTGAGAGCGGCGCCACTCTCTGGACATAAATTGTTGCCATGCAAGGGTTTCGTAGTCCCTAACCTTTTATGTTCATTTTCATTTTGAGTGAATGAATGAATCAATACATATTTGTGAAGATCTAATCTATGTTCTTGTCGTCTCACTTTTTCGAAATTTGATTCAGTCTTTTCTGAAAAAAATCGCAAAATAACGTGTTTTTTGATGATTTTCAAAATTTTTTTCTCAAGAACCGAATCAAATTTCGAAAAAGTACGACGGCAGGAACATTTATGAGATCTTCATGAATATGCACAATTTTTTTCATCCACTCAAAATGAAAAATGACCGTGAAAAATTAGGGACTACGAAACCCTTGCACGAGCCCTTACATTATTGCTTTATATCATAGTACAACTTCCTCTTGACAGAAAAGCATTGAAAAGGAATGTTCTCAGATAAATCATGTACGTAAAAAAATGGATATATACATATATGAAGAAATACATCGAGACTTCGCATTCTCTATTTGATGAAAATATCAATTGTTACGCCTATGAAACTCTAATTCGAACATGTAAACAAATGGTACTTACGAATGGAAGGTGAAATTTGGGTATTAAAACTTTGTTTTTTCGCAAATCCAGCAGTGTAACACCATTATTAGTCTCTGTCTATCAACTTTACACAAAAAAAAATTAGAAAATTCACTCAAAAACAACGAAAACAATAAACTTCCTCAAACACATGAACATGAACGAACAACGCCGAAAGCACGAAACATCACGAAACGAGCCTGTTTTGCAGCGGCGTTGTCGGTTGTGTATAATCTCGGTAACCTTTACAGAATAACTTCGAAATGATGTATAACGACAGTTTTTTAATATTTGATTGTGACTATCTATGGACATATGATTTGTTCCTTGAGTTCTATGAATTGGCTCATAATGAACATCTAATTGAATAGATGATTACAAAAGAGATAAGTACAAATACTTGAGAGGATTAGACTGAGGTAAGGAATTATTAGCGACAGGACGTGACAACCTCCAATTCAACATCAGGTGATATACCGTGACCGTATTCTCTGACTTCACATTACGATGTAAATAAATGGGTCCTTCTTTGTTTATACGTCCATGGTACAGCTAATCTGAATAAAAACGTAAAAACTTCACAAACGATAAGATTTCCACAAAATTTTTTAAACACACATGTTTCGCTAACACAGTAGCTTCGTCAGGTGATATACTGGTACAATGAACTAAACTAACGTTGGCTTGCTTAACTTTTATATATCTTACCTTCCCAACCTGAAGGATTAGTTACCTGTGGACAGGTACGATAAACCTCCATTTTCGAAAATTATGCACAATATCTACATTAAATTACGGTATACCGGATTAACTTGAAAAAGTTGATATCAAATACATGTTATTACTCACTAAGAAAACAAATTCAACACTGGGGAACTATTAAGGTCTAATTGATCATTGAGTAAAATGTCAAAATTTTTGAGTTTGTTGATTTCTAATGATTAAAAATGATTGAGTTCAGTCCTTTATTTTCTACGTGCAGAATTTCGAAATTATCATCAAAACTATGGTTTTCTTCTAATATATGGTTGGCGTATGTTGAATTTGTTTTCTTTTTCCGTTGGGACGGTTTATCAAGAATAATAAAGACAAAACTTCTAAATTCGAAAAATCAGGGGTATACAAACTCGAATGTGGATCTTGTCCTAAGGTATATATCGGTCAGACAGGTCGTACGTTTAATTAGCGCATTTATGAACATAAGATGAATTTATGAAAAAGAAAACAAATTCAACATACGCCAACCATATATTAGAAGAAAACCATAGTTTTGATGATAATTTCGGAATTCTGCACGTAGAAAATAAAGGACTGAAACTCAATCATTTTGAATCATTAGAAATCAACAAACTCAAAAATTTTGGCATTTTACTCAATGATCAATTAGACCTTAATAGTTCACCACTGTTGAATTTGTTTTCTTAGTAAGCAATAATATGTATTTGATATCATCTTTTTCAAGTTAATCCGGTATACCGTAATTTAATGTAGATATTGTGCCTAATTTCCGAAAATGGAGGTTTATCGTACCTGTCCACAGGTAACTAATCCTTCAGGTTGGGAAGGTAAGATATATAAAAGTTAAGCAAGCCAACGTTAGTTTAGTTCATTGTACCAGTATATCACCTGACGAAGCTACTGTGTTAGCGAAACATGTCGTGTGTTGAAAAAAAAAATTCTGTGGAAATCTTATTGTTTGTGAAGTTTTTACATTTATCATGAATTTCCATCAAGTAACGGCCGAGTCAATTAAAAAAAAACTAAATAAAAACGTCAATATTTCAAGATTAGATAAAATGTATGAATTCCAAGTATCCAATCGCATCCATCAAACAATTAACAAACAAAATTTGTCAAATCTGTCATTTACGACATGTGATGGTTTATATTTATACAATACACGTAATAGCAAGAAGTTATTCTTACCCAATGCGTCTATGCCTTTAAAAAATCCATTTGCTTTATAAAGGTTTTTGGATGTATGATGAATTGACATTCATCATACAGGACGTGGAAAAAAATTCTAAATTCAGAAAACCTAATCACGAATGTGCGATTGAAGGTCTATAAAAATAACAAGTTTCCATCGTTCAAGTTTGAACCCCTCGATTGAGTGAAAGTATTGAAAAGGGATATTCTCAGATATAATTATGAACATAAAAATATATTTATATATGATATATTTATGAAGAAATACATTGAGAATTCGCATTCTCCATGTGATGAAAATATCAACTCTTTCTCGGTCTATTCAACAGAAAACAACTGCTTTCCTGGCTATATGCCACGACGAACATTGAATTATATCTATTGTACACACACGACACGAATTCGAAAACAAAATCTTCTGAAGTAGAGAATTTGCATTCTCCTTCATGTAAAGATATAGATAGATAGATAGATAGATAGAATTTATTTAACCACGTTACACAAAAAAATTCTATGTTTGTAGCAGGTCAGATACAAGATACAAGTAGTGTTATATTGTTAAGCTCACATATTAAAAATAAAAAGAACATGGAAGTTAACAAATTACAAGTTTAAAAATCTAAAATCACAATATTAAAATGTTCCATAAGAGAAAAAAGTCAATACACAAGTAATGAACACACTAAATGAAAGACAACAAACAAACCAAATTTGGACCGCTAAGGAGATGTGAGTTGTTTGTGAATGCGAAAATGCTCTCTGAAGTCATCGACTGAGTAGAAGCAATGTCTCAATAGATACTTTTTAAGTTGTTTCTTGAAGGAATTCACACTGAGCACTCTGAGATCCTGTGGCAAAATATTATACATAGAAAAATCTAGGGTATTTTTTTGGGATAATTGAAGACGATATCGATTTAGTCTGATCTGATGACATTTTCTTGTATTATGTTCATGAATATGAGATTGTTTTATCATACATGACTGCTTTTTGTGCATCTCAACTATAGCACAGTATATATATAAAGTTGGCAGTGGCATAATTCCAAGTTTTTTGAAATATTCTTGGCAGTGATCCCTGTATCCGATTTTAGCTAGAATTCTCAAAGCCTTTTTTTGCATCCTAAAAATGTGTATAGCATGACATGAATTTCCCCATAGTTGTATACCATAGCTCATATGAGAGTGAAAGAGGGAGAAATATGTGGTTTTCTGTGTACTGGTGCTGGTGAATTTTTTCAACTGTCGAAGAACAAATAAAGAACTTGAAAGTTTCTTTTTTAATACAGTAATATGAGCAGACCAGCTGAGTCTACTATCTAGTGTAATGCCAAGCAGTTTAACTTGATTACTCTCAAAGTTAGAAACAGTTTGATTGTTAGCAGAAATTTGAATGCATTGAGTCTTATCGCCGTTAAGTTTAAGCTTATTTGATAAAAACCACTGATTAGCACTATTCGAAACCTCATCAACCGTAAGCCTTAAGTTATCATTATTGGTATTTGGTAATATAAAAGTAGCGTCATCTGCAAAAAGGACTGATTTGAACGGTAGCATATTATTGCACAAGTCATTAACGTATATGATGAACAAGAGAGGTCCCAGAACGGATCCTTGCGGAACACCGTGTTTGACTGTTTGAAAGTTTGACATAGTGCCATTGCACATTACTGCTTGCTGACGATTTGTTAGATAAGTTCTTATTAATTGAAGCGGAATACCCCTAATCCCATAATAGTTCAATTTCTCCAACAGGATCTCATGTGAAACGCAGTCGAACGCTATATACATAATATCATTCTGTATTCCTTTTCAATGATTTAAAAGTGTTCAAATACCTATATATTCGACTGCCTGTTTAAATAAAAGAATGTAACAGCAAATTATTCAATAAAAAACCTTATGAATAAAAAAAGACGCTTGGTTAAGGTTTGAATAGATCTTGGCTACATTTGTAATGTTTTTAAGAACTTTCGTAAAAACGCAAAATTATGATAAGTAGTGACAAATTCTGTGATAAAATTAGGCTATTTTGAATACTATATACCTGACAAAATTTACTCTGTATATTTTCAGCTATTTTTAATTGCATGACATGTTTTTTCAGAGTAAGAACCTTTATGAAAGTGGAATTTTCCGTAGTTCAATTAAAAGAAAAAAATATGGGTTGCGTTCAAGAACTGTCAGATGACCGACCCTGGTGAAACATTGAAACACAACCCCACTTTTCTTATTTGTTTACAAGTGATTGAAATGGTTTTTCACAATTATTTTGGCATACGAACCGTGTTTTTCGGCTATTCATTAAATCGCGCATGTCATCATAATGTGCTGTTGTACTATACACAAAAAATGCAGCAGGAGACGAAGGAATCCGGTTGGTACATTATGATTTAAAAGTAAGTACCTTCTATAGATAGATAGATAGATAGATATATTTATTCATGTTTTTACACTTACGTGTTTACATTCGTCAATGAGTTTATAAGACATCAAATACATATAATGGTCAAACGGGCATGATATAGATATAAAAATAGACCTCACTTTATACAGAAATTATAAGCTAAGAATGTAAAGTACAATATAAATAAGTAAATAAGCACAATAAATAAAGACAATTTAAGCATAACTCATCAATTAAAAATGTAAGTTAAAATATAGACAACTAAACACACTAAAAATAGGAATATAAATTACAATCGCAACTAATATATTATTTGAAATTACATTCAAAACTTTATTCTGAGTAGTGAGAGAAGAACTCTTGGTCTGAATAAAAACAATTTTCAGTGAAAACATCCCTCAAAGTTCTTCTGAATTTATGCAGAGACATGCTATTGTCTTTGAGCTCCAGTGGTAAACAGTTGAAGTATTTGTAGGATCTATATAAATAAAGTCACTCACATATAGTTTTCATTCTTGAAATTTGGTAATTTCTCTGATTTCTCATCGGAAATCCTTCTGCAATAGGAACTAATAGAAATACTCGTGAAATTACTAAAATAATGCAAGAAGATTGGATTCATGCAATCAAACAGCATGACTGGTCTGACATGCTGACGAAATATGATCGTGTGTGTTGTAGACATTTTCAATCTTTAATCAGTATTAGCTTCTATTGCAGATGTGGCAGAAGGAATTTTAATAAGAAATGACAAAATTTCATTATGAAAACTATATGAGATTACTATTTACCTGAAAAATCATATTCCTTCGTCTCTCGCTGCATTTTTTGTGCCTTGTATGTACAACAGCACAATGAGAAGGCACGCTTGAATTAATAAATAGCGCAAAAAACACTATTCGTTTGTCAAAATATTGTGAAAAACTATTTCAATCCTTTGATTCCTCTGTAAACAAATAAAAAAGCGAGGTTGTGTTTCAATGTTTCACAGAAGAGTGATATCGTGTTTGAATATTTTTCCTCCAGGGTTGGTCATTCTGCACGCGACGTATATAGGCTATATTCAGAATTCAACTGGTCAGTACTGTCAGTAGTTCCACTGACTCTGCTGAAAATCTGTGTTTCGAAATATAAAATCAAAAATACAGTGCTGTAATTCGGAACACGTTTTCATGGTTTTCATCAGTAGTCAGCAGCAGTTGATCAGCTGGTGAAATTTATCAGTCTGAGTTTCTCGTTTATCTGAACTAGATAATTTAGCCTCCTGCTTGACATACATTTGAGAAATTTAATATTTAACAAGGAAGAGCAATCGGTTCTTGTAGCCTTCATAGTTTCTTCGATTGTTGACGATGACGATTCAAGCTCGAGTGATGAAGAATACTCGGACATTTATGTAGTATGGCATTAATGATGATGCATTTAGGAGACATTTCAGGTTTATTTAGATATTTATTTACCCAATGCTGCTTCTTCTTTCGTTTCCTCTTCTTCTTCATACTCCATATTATTGTCAGCGTTTATTATTTCAATAACGGGTATTTTTTGATATTGAAAATAATATAATTAACAACGGAAATAAATGTTACATTCCTTCCCACTCTAAAATGATGACAGTTCATTGAAGCCACACTACCTTTTGATACTCAGCAATTTCAGCAGAATGTCAAGTCGAAATATTTGGAATGAATAGTATATCTGCTCACAAGCGGCTATATTCCGAATTCAACTGGTCAGTACTGTCAGTTGATCCACTGACTCAGCTGAAAATATGTGTTCCGAAATATAAAATCAAAAATTCACTACTGTAATTCGGGACACGCTTTCATGGTTCTCATCAGTAGTAGTTTCTCGTTCATCTGAACTAGATGTTTAGCCTCCTACTTGTTATGAATTTTGGAAATTTTATATTTAACATGGAAGAGAAATCGAATCTTGTATCCTCTATAGTTTCTACGATTGTTGCCGATATCGCTTCAAGCTCGAGTGATGAAGAATACTTGGACATTTTGTTGCCATAAATTTCTCATGATGCACCAGATTGAGAATTGAGATTAATGAAAATCGCAATATGCCTTAATGATGATGAATTTTAGGAGACATTCCAGGTTTATTTAGTTTATTTAGCCAATGCTGCCTTACCTGATCTACGACTTCATACTCCATATCCATGATATTGAGAATCATTTCATTATAACAACGGAAATGAATGTTACATTCCTTCCCCCTCTAAAATATGACAGTTCACTGAAGCCACACTACCTTTTGATACTCAGCAAATCCAGCAGAATGTTGAGTCGAAATATTTGGAATGAATAGTATGTCTGCTGACAAGCATCTGTCACTTCCAGTGAATTTTTTGATTTCGGAATGGAAAATCAGCAGATTCAGTACTGTCAGTTGAATTCGGAATATAGCCGCTAGAATCTGTCACATTCAGTGATTTTATTGATTTCGGAATGAAAAATCAGCAGATTCAGTCAAATCTTATTGGAAATTGTAATAGGCGTGTATTAATCAAAGAGAAACCTCGCTTGTTGCAGATGGAGGCGTCCCACCAGGCGTGGCTCGAGGACCTCTCGTTGCGCCTGCTCTGCGTCCTCGCCTTGGACCGCTTCGGCGATTTCGTGTCGGACGCGGTGGTGGCGCCGGTGCGCGAGACGTGCGCGCAGGCGCTGGCCGCCGTGCTGCGGCTAGCCGACGCTCGGGCGTGCCGCGCGGTGCTCGCCGTGCTGCTGCAGCTGTCCGAGCACGACGAGTGGGAGGCGAGGCACGGCGGACTGTTGGGGTAACTTATTGAATTTGTTGTTTGATATTTCCGAACTTAACATAGTATCTTTGTCAAGTTTACTAAGCGTACAGGGTGATTCACCATAAATGTCCCGCCCTTCCTCTAGCTCAGTTATTTTTGAACCGATTTACAAAGGACCCCGCACCATTTACATTGAAATCGTGTCTACGGTGAAATTTCGTGAAAATCTAGGATTGGATAGATCGAATCAGGCTGAACAAAAAATATCCTCTGATCCAAGGTCCGTTATGCCCGTGAAAAGATGTTATAAGCTCTTGAAGCCAAACGAGATAACCTCTAGCAGAACAGCACATCCTGTGTATAATATGATTTTGGCTGATACGATATTTTTGGGTTGTCAGATAATGGCGTATTACTTTGTTCAAATACATATGAAATGACTTATCAGAATAGGTTTCGATGCTTTGTATGTATATGCGATGGCGAAGACAATATAATGCTATGGCACGCATCGATCGAGATCAAAATGATGAGCAGCAAGCAATCGCAATACATCGTCGACAGGTTCTAGGAAGAAAAGATATACCCCTAACCGATCGTACTCGTTTATTTCTGAACTGTAATTGATCCATTACAGAGGAACTTGGAATTCGAGAGAACGTTCATTTTATGAACCTCAATATTGTCTTTCCCATCCATGCAAGAGTGTGCATATTTTGGGGCGCAAATTATAATTCACTTTACCTATCATTAGTAGCTAGAGTCAATGTATACAGAGTGTTTGGTTCACCGACGTATATCTGGAGGGGTGATAGTTGAGAACATTCCGAACATATTTTACCATATATATACTGTTATACATAGTGTTTGAAATTTCGAGGTATCATCGTTCTTTAAAAAATTGTATCTGATTAAATCTATTTTTTTCTTAGAAAGTTGAATACGCATTTCATAGATACTGAACACGAAATGGGATCTAATGTGATAAAAACATTTTTTGACTCGTTAGAATTCAAAAAACGATTTTTCTAACATCCAATTTGTTGTTGTTGTTGTTCTTTATTACCCCAAGAAACATATTTGTTTATTATAGGGATACATAAACATATGATATATATATATATCTATATATAAAACAATAAAAAAAACTAATTAACAAGTTATGTCAATATAACATAATAATTAAAATAAAACCATTCCAAGTATTCCAATGAGAATAAATTGCTCCGTTTATTGTGTCATGAGTATATATTTTTTCATATTGACTTTGAATCTTGTTTCATCATCAATATGTTTCAAATCATAAGGTAATGAATTATATAAAATGATTCCGTTGTAGAATACTGATTGTTTGCCAATGATGGAGTTATATGGGTTCGCTATTAATGAATTCAACTGTCTCGTTGCATGAGTATGAATTGTATTTACTTCAGTAAAGTTCAAGTTGGATATTTTTATTTTTTTTCTCACAAAATGAATGAAAGAACAAATTTTCATTTTATATAAAGATGATAAATTCAACAGATTTTTTGGTTTGTAAAGATTAATAGTTGGTTCCAGGTAATGTAAATTGTGAATGCACTTAATTGTTTTATTTTGTAATTTCATTAATGGTTTCAAATGTGATATACTTGTGCTTCCCCAAATTGATATTAAATATTGTAATTTTGAGTAAATCAGACAAAAATATATATTCTTCAAATATCTAAGAGGCATGAAATTTCGAATTTTGTATAAAATGTCAGTAATTGGATTGAGCTTTTTTCTCAGGTGATCTATATGTTTGGTCCGCGATAATTGATCATCAATATAAAGACCTAAGAATTTTGTAATATCTAAATATTTTATGGCTTTCTGGTTGAAAAATATTGTTGTTTTCGACATATCAGTTTTTCTTTTTGAAATATACATATACGTAGATTTGTCAAAGTTAAGGGTCAGCTTATGAATTTGTAGCCAAGATGATATCATTTTCAAGTGACTTTTTATATCATCAACTATATCGTTAAATTCTTTAGAGGAATAGATTATTGTAGTATCATCTGCAAATAACTTCAGATCTCCTTTCAGTTTCAAAGATGATATTGAATTGATGTAAATTAAGAATAAAATTGGACCTAAAACGGAATCTTGTGGTACACCACATTTGATTTCTCTTACGGAGCTACAAATATTATTGACTTCAACATACTGCTTCCTATTTTCCAGATAATTTTTTAACCAATCAAATATTTTTCCTCTGATACCTATTGAATATATTTTACACAGTAAAATTTCATGATTTACAGTATCGAAAGCTTTACATAAATCTAAAGCTATGATTTCAAAAATGAATCCAACTATTTTTTTTTTTTTATTCACCACCATAATGTATATTACATTTTTTTTTTTTTTTTTTTTTTTTTTTTAGTTCACTATAGAATAAGAAATACAAGTTCAAACATATGTATAGCCTAATTTAAATAAGAATATACTTCCCGGTGATCCAATATAATTCCTAAACAGCAAATTGAAGCTTGCTGGTATCAGAATAATGAATTTTCATAACATGACATGTGTGGAAATATAAATTGTGTGATCTCAATGCAATACATGTATACCAACAGATTACTACTGTATCAACATTAGAACTACATTTAAGTGATTATTTTCATATTTACATCTACTAGTTAACAATAACAATATGTAGATGCTCCAGATAACGTATAACAATAATATAGAATATTGAAATAAAGATAATAATAATATATACCATATATACCAATTGAATCAATATACGGGGAGAACAATTTATGTAATTTTTCTGGAGTACTGTACATTTTTATATTTCATAGAATGACAAAATCAATCATCTCAGTTTTTTCTAACTGCAATTATTTCATAACTCTCCTTGGATTCATTCAGCCATGTATTGATTCATTCATATATTCTTATTTTCTACAGCTTGAAATACCTGCTGGCAGTACGAGAGGACATGATCGACACCCTGCTCCCCCACAGCTTCCACCACATCCTCGCCGGCCTCTCCGATCCCGTCGACGACGTCAGCGCCGTGGCGGCCGCCGCTCTCATCCCCGTCGCCGGCAAACTGCCCGCCCTCGTGCCCGACCGCCTGCCCAGAATCGTCACCAAGCTGTGGGACCTGCTGGCCGAGCAGGACGAGCTAGCTGCCGCCTGCAACAGCTTCATGGGCCTGCTGGCGGCCGTGTTGAACCTGCGCGGGGCGCAGGCGTTGGTGCCAGTGCGGCCGCCCAGCGAGGTGGTGCCGAGGCTGTGGCCGTTTCTGTCGCACAGCGCTTCGTCGGTGCGGAGGGCGACTTTGCAGACTTTGGGGACGCTGAGCGAGAAGATGGAGAAGGACAGTGGTTTGTGGGAGGCGCAGCTGTTGCAGGACGCGCTGCGGCACGTTTTTCAGAGGGTGCTGGTCGAGCAGAGCGGGGAGGTGCGACAGGTGGCCGAACAGGTGGGTGGGGTCAGAGAAATGTAGCTAATGGGGCTTCAATTCTCGAGTTTATTAGGAGTGTTTCCTGTGGACAGGTGTTTTTAAGTTCCCAAATTATATAGGTAATCGCAATTTGAAACACCCGTTGTTCTGTTTCTTTTAATTGCCAATTGTCTTTGCATAAATATTCGTTTTCAAATTCAAAATAGAAATTCGCGCGTTTTAACAGAAACAAGGTATTTCTCGCTATCGCCAAACTCAACTGTAGTGGAGGAAAGGAGATGACCAAGGGCCGAGGTGGAGGGGCCGAGAGGTCAGGTGACTATATAGAAGATGAGAGACGCGTGAACCCGGCAATTAAGAGAGGGAATCAAAAACTTGGTGTCTACTTATTATTGTTGTTTGGTTTAATAAAAATAACCGCACAATAAACTCTCAAAGAAAAATATAAACTTACGTGTAAAGTGATGTGCTGATAATATCCTGAAAAGAAAGAAACAAGCTCGGCGGTCGCCTGAAGCTTACAAGGAGGAAACCACGTCGTGTCCATTAACCATATACAAGTGAGCGATTTGCAAAGATCTTGTTTCTGTCGAATTTGATAAAATATCTTCATTCGTTTACCTATCAAGTGATAATACAGTCCAGTACAACTTCTCGCCCACAACACCCGTATTCTCGAACCAAGTGGAATCATTTTTCATGCGAAATAAAAAAGCACTTGTGAAACCTTCGCCAACGAAAAGATTGATTCAAAATTCAAAATAATATGTTTATATATAACATATTATCATCAACTTGCTTAACTGATATAATTATTATAATTTATGAACCTGAAGGATTGGAATTATGTGCGAGCAAGCTTGCCAACCCTTCATTTTGGAAATGCACAATATTGTAAAGAGCCTTTATTTCTGGTTCGAAGGTGCCAGATTTTGTATGAAAGTGATTTACTTCACCTAGTCTTACAAACTGAATTTGTGAGGACTAGGTAGCAACAGTGAAAAAAGGCAGAGGAGGTGCCTACAGTAAACCAGGGGTCAATGTTATTGACAGACCTATATCAGGGACGAACAGATCGTAAGCTTCAAGTACAAACAGATCGTAAGCTTCAAGTACAAACCCTAGGTTTAGTCTGGATTTGTGATTTCTAGACTTTATGCTGACTAATAACTGTTCTTCCAGTCTATTCCTGAGGAATAAGACTTTGCAGAAACCAAAACAAATTTCTATGGGGAAACAGTCACTGGTATCCTATTTCAGCTCTGGAAATTGTTCATTTGAACTATTTCATTAGTTTTCACTGGAGAATCACGGAAACAGATTCAGTTCATATTTATTTTCCTAGCTATTCGTCTCTTCTATTTTTCCACACCGGAATTTGTGAGGCTAAAACAGGGTGAAATTGTAACAAATATATACAAACTTACATGATAACAATCTAGACACAAAAATCAATTTACAATTAATACTTAACAGAGCGAGCGATCAGAAGTGCGCGATCGAAGGAGCGGCAAAAGATATTCCTCAGCCAGTCTTGAGTAATTATATACGATAGGAACCATTACGTGAATGGGGCAAGTACAAGCCCAAGGTACGTTTGAAATACGCTCTGAAATTGAACAACTTCGAACAACGCATAGACTCATTTACATAAAAAGCAAGAATTAACTTAGATTCTTAACGACACAGTGGAGTAATTGAATGGCGATGATCCTGGCCGCCGCACGTGTGCAATTCATAAGGAAAAGCGCTTTTCTTTTGGTGAAGAATTTTCGTATTTTCCGCCATATTATACTGCCTGCCTTTGTAATATACGGAAGTTCAAATAAATGAAAGCGCTAATAATTGATGCATGGACCATGCAATCCGCAGCAGCTCAAAGAGCTCAAAAGGGTTACGAAAAACCAAGTAAAAAAATGGAATCAAAGTATCAAATCAAATTTGGCAAAATACTATATCAATTAATTATTAAAATGAAGTATCTTTCTGATGGCATGCAGTTTGAAGTCACGGAATACCTGTAAGAAATTTTTACAGAATTTAAACGAAATTTTCCACCTTTGGTCAGACGATGGGCACATGCCAATTTGTGGAGTAATTGAATGACAATAATTCATTATCAGTCCACTTGCCCACTGTGAAGGGAAATCGTGTCAGGTTTCCCTATTTTGAGGGGTGGAGCACCCTTAGGAAGCATTTTTCAACAAATCTTTGTAGAAACTTATAAAAAAACTTCAGAAACACTTCCCGAAATTTTACCAACGTTTAGGAAACACCCACTATATATTTGTACAAATATTGGGATTCTGAGGACCCTGACCCCTCTGACGCATCCCAAAAACTTGGTTTTCTGTTTCGGGCCAGTACCTACCTTCCAGTCAGCTGCTTATGATCCATAAGGCACAGATCCAACCTGTCCTGGAATACTGTTTCCATATTTGGAGTGCAGCACCCAAACATACCCTGAAACTGTTGGATTCTGTCCAGAAAAGGGCAATTCGTCTTGTGGGTGATGCCTCGCTCACAAACTCACTCACCTCTGGAACACCGTAGAAAAGTTTGCGATCTGGCTCTATTTTATTGATATTTTCATGGACGATGCTCATCTGAAATATCAACAATTGTTCCTCCCTTGGCAGTCCCCGCGAGATTAACCCTTGGAGTAGAGGCTTCGCACCCCTTCGTGGTCACTTTGGAGACCTGCAGAACATCTCTTTCCAAAGACTCGTTCATATATCCCGAGGCATATAACCTCCAGAAATTTAAGAAGAACACCACTTCCAACCTAATTTCCCTGTTCTCTGAACATTACAGGATATCCCTTTTCGTTGGAACCAGAACATGAAAAAAAATATTCTACTATTTTATATTGACCTTATGTTAGGTACTGTTGACGTACATGCTTTGTGATCATGATGTATTTCATAAAGTATAATTCTCTCTCATATTCTATTATGTTCAATGTCCAAGTGAATCACTATCACTTCAATGTAAAAACCAAATTTATTTCTTAGGACTGATAATTGATGGAAATGACATTCCAAATTACACAGCGATCCCAAAATGGGTAGCTGAATAAAATAATTCAATTTTCAAACTTCCTTGATAAAAAAATCCCATGGAAAATTCCAATCTCGAACCTAACCATACACAGGTGTGGAACAATCTGGTGGTCAACTCGCAGCTGGTCGATCTGCTGCACGCCGCCTGTCCTTTCATCACCGTCTGGCTGTACCAGAGCATGCAGCCGGTGAGAGCGCCCTTCGACTCCAATCTGCTGATCCATGCGAAATCGCATCACAAGAAGAGGAGCACCATCGACGGCTTGCACAGCTTCGATCACACGGTGGTGCCGCCCAAGCTGTACCTGGGCGGCAGCGAGACCACGCCCGCCCACGTCCGGGAAGCCAATGCCGTGCAGGTTTGATTGATTGATTGTCTTTATCATCCTCCGATACATTGTTGTTTATAATAGGTATACAGGGTGTTTTCTGATTGAATGTCAATATTTGAGAAGTCGATTCTTGGGCCCATTTTGAGAAGATAATTTCAAATGAACGTATGACCTAAACGTCTTAACTTTTGAGATACAGGGTGGTGAAGTTGTCAAAAATGAATAGTTTTTTATTAATATCTGTAATTTCACTTTAGATAATCTTATCAAATTTGGCATACATATACTATGTATCAAGAGGCATCAGGTAGTGTAGCATATTTTTTATTGTTGCCACCAGTGGCCATGATCATAACAATGTCGTTAATATGACAATATCACAATGCGGAGAAATAGATTTTTTTAGATCAAATTTCAGGTATACAATTCATAGTTCATGATCTCTAGAATTGTTCCAGTCCGAATCACGGTTTTCGCCTAAAAAATAAAATCTATTTATCTGCATTGTGATATTGTCATCTCAACGATAATGTTATGATCATGCAGTGAAAGGGTTCTATTTTTCAAGCGAAAACCTTGCATCAGATTGAAAACATTGTAAAGATCAAATTTGCTTAGAAATGATTGAAAATTTCAGGAATGATTTCAATTTCAAGATTAATCAGTGTTGTACCATCAGTGCCTGCCAAAATAGGTATGTGAAATTCCATACGTACGCCATTGGTGACAACACAAAAAAATGTGGTACAATATCTAATGCCTCTTGATGCATCGTACATGTTTGCCAAATTTTATTAGAATATCTAAAGTGGTATTACAGATATTAATGAGAAACAAATTTATTTTTGAGTACTCTACCACCCTGTATCTCAAATGTTGAGTCGTTTAGGTGATACGTTCTTAAAATGGGCCCAAGAATCGCCTCCTCAAATATCGACATTCAATTAGGAAACACCCTGTATACACGCCTGCCAAAAAGAATTTTCGTATGGAGAAATTGTGGATGAAGTGAAAACACATTAGATTCATGGTCATTTTAACGAAGAGAGAAAAAAGCGACGTTGCCATACGCTTCGTATTGCGTTAAAGCCTTCTTCGAGCGAGTCCATTTTCAAGTTCATTGTGTCAAATGGAAAAACTGTGATATGAAGGGAAATTGTCCAAGTGAAATATTGTACCCACAGAATTATCAATACAATTCATTGAAATTATTAATCTGATCAATTTGGGGAACATTTTTCTCGCAAAAATTGAAACGTCAAGAAACGCAATTTTGTGTTGCTCGCTTCTCTCGTTCTGCAAAATCCCATCGTTATACAGAACAAAGCGTTTCCTAACTGGTTTCGTAAGTATCTATCTTGTTTTTCCTGTTTTCTTATTTTTATTTTATTGAAAATTATATTTCTCTTCAAAATAGACAAACATGCTTCTTATACAAGTCAATTTATTTCATTTGAATTTTAATATTTTAATCCTCAAAAAATCATTGAAGTTCCTATATTGATTCAATCAATTGTACCTGACACTATTTTCTTTGATTTTGATAACTGTGATGATATATGTTTTTAATGTTATGTTACTAAAAAAAAAATTGTCTAAAATTGTTCTATCCGTCATTCGGTTGCCCCCTTACGAGCAACCCTCAGAAGTCTTCGAAAGTCTTGTGCGAGCAAGGAATGACGGGGGCCTTACCATTTAACGTGTGATCCCAAACACTTTCTTAGGCCATCAGAAAAAGTCTGCGTTCGTGGGACTCGAACCCACGATCGATACCTCGACGTGAATCGATATTGAAGCATCGAAGCACTGAGGTACGCCGGCCTGTGATTGTCATTCTTGAAAATATTGCACTGTTCTATTCTATTATAAATATCAGAATAGATTCCGTTTTTATAAAAGACTTTGTCCCTCAAATTGATCTATCTACTTATAGTTCTATTAAACCATGGCTTTGAATCACTTTTTAATTCAAACAGGTGCGATGCATGGCCTCGAGGATGCTTGGACTCCTGTCGCGCTACATAGTCATGGCCGCGCCCGGAATCGACTATTCCACGGGGATCGAGAAACCGATCGAGTGCTACGAGAAACTCCTCTTGGTCCATCTCAATTCGAAATCGGCGTTGCAGCGTATGATGACCGGTATGTACCTCAGTCAGGTCTATAATTGATATTGTTAAATAACGAATACTATATTTTTGTTTGAATTCATGAAAAAATGCTGAAAGTGAATTTTTACGGTATAATAAGATATTAATACCAAAAAATTAAAGTAAAAATAAAAATCGAATAACCTGGTCTGCTTCACAATATCGCTGATAGTGTAAAAGTTATTCATGAAACAAATTTTCTCGTTCTCTACAAAAATGATGAAAATCACTGCTGAACACAGCAAAAACGTTGTAATTTATACTGCACCGTCAATATATGATTGAACAAAACAGACGCATTATTATGCAACGAATACCTACACGTTAATCTCATGATAGTGATTTTGATTTTATGATGAAAAAAAAAACAAATGACTGGAAATTGTCAAAACAGTGATAAAAGTACGGTGCAGAAATTGAACGTTAGGGTCTTGGAAAAGAAAGTAGTGGATGAGTATGTATGTTATGAAACATTCGAAGTTGAGTTCACATGAATTAGGACCAGAATGTAAGTGCTCCATGATTTCAAAATATTGTCAGAAAAATGCCATTATGAGAGAGTTTGATAACCCGTCGAGCACATATGAGCGGTAACTCAACTGGTATTATATCCATGACTTCAGAGACTGCATGCAATTTTTTTGTATCGTGTCGATAAAATATTGAAATTTGAAAAAAACAAATGAAAAAAAATAGCAGTCTAGTATACGTTTACGTTATCACCGATAAATGATTACCCGCTGTCAAAAATTTCAATTCAAAACTTGAATCATATGAAACCATCTGAGCCGATCTATTTTGCAGTTGAGTGAAGATAATAGGGCAAGAAAAACATTGGATCGAATGATTACAAAAGATGAACATGAAACGTTATGTATTGAATCAGTCTTCTTGAGAGAAACAAGGAAAGAAATTCATTCATTTAATATCTGAATGCTTGTCAGACGTAGCTTATTGTCTGTCTCATTGTGGTACTTGTGACAAATAATTTCGAAACATGTTCCAATTCCAATGTTGAATAAAGTATAGTTTTGGTGGAGTTGACTGTAAGATTTTCTTCCCTCCCCACTTGAGTCGTATGATTACCGAATATACTTTTGAGGTTCAACATTTGTATTCTAGCGACAGGAATAAAAGAGCCTTTCATTGTTCTAGTGTGGTCTTCATATTGAATTGATTCAGTACATTTATTACTGAACAGTCAGAATCTACCCTTATTCCGATTGCTACATTACAGGTATGGTGGTGGCGGAATGGGCAAGAAAATATGACAGCGCATGCCCGCCGAACTTGAACTTGCGTCTGCAACAGTGCCTGAACGAGTGCGTATACTACGACGAGATAGCGCACAGCTTCACCCGACTGGCGCAGGAAACCAGGGACTTTTTGGCGACCCTGCGGCATTATAAAGTACCCGTGGAGCTGGAGAACGACAGCGTCCTCACTTTGCCGCAAATTCTACGACTGACCGGGCCAGAAACGCAGAGGATCATCGTCAACTTCAAGCTGAAATCGAGGTAAAAAAGGCAATGAGGAAGTTTCCTATTTGCGAGATTCACGAAGTGCATAGACTACATTGCATACATCTTGCTGTAGCTGTAGTTGTCAAACTTGTCAATGACATAAAGTGTTATCACTCTTATCAGTACACAGTACACAAGCTAATGGCACTTATGGGATTGAGTGAGGATTGAGTTTGTTTTCCCCCAGTTTGGACGTGGCTTTGACATGGAACGATGAAAACCGAGCGCTACCTGGTAACATTGATTCCCGCGAATATTGGGGTTCTTATCTCAATGTGAGTTTGTAAAAAATTAATATATACGCATTTTTTCTTTTTCTCATGAGATCAAATTCCACTTCAGAATATAAAAATAAAAGAGGAACTTGGCTCCTCCACCATTCCTATGACGTACTTTCTGAAAATCCACATTCACACAGCATTAAAATACGATTCCCTATGCCAGTACGACGTTGTCGACACCATCAATAATATGTCTAGATCTCCGGAAATTGTTCTTTGAATGCATAATAACTATATCAAATCAGCAATGAGATATAATATGTTCTTCAATCCTACTTTGTCAAGTATTATGAATAATTCCCATAAATCTCTCAATGGCTGAATGAAGTACTAATAAAGATAAAATATGATTATTGGCGATAGTATCTATAATTCTTTACTATCGTTCTATTACAATATGTTATTCATAACGTCGGTCATTTTTTGCTAATGAATTCGTTCCTTAATAAAACGGATCTATACTTCGTGTCAGTCCACACCACTCAAAATACTGACAGACACAACAAGAGGAAGGAGCCATGGGTGTCGGCTTCCTTTTGTTCTGACCGATGACAGTAAATTAGGAAGGATTGAATGCAGCCGATAGTGAGTCATTGATTCAATGATATTTTCGTTCAGGATCGAGCGCTATTCGAGATATTTCAATGCATAAATAACAAAACCCTGTCAGAATGAAGCCAACTACCCTCTGCATTCCTGCTCCGAGTGCATTTGTGGTTATGTTTGTTTTTGTTTACTAGTTTTACTGCTTCTATTTTTTTCATTCATTTTTCATTCGTTAGCTATTCGCTAGCTATATTCTTCATCATCAGCTATTTTCAGACTAGACTCAGAATGTACGTCACAGTTTGTCACCCCGCAAATTAGAAATTGCTTTAATTTGAAAATGAAAACGACTTGGACTTTATCGGATGAAAATTCATCTGAAGAAAACTTCCCCATTTAGAGCTATACAGGGTGTCCCGAAATCAGTCAGTCGAACTACACCAGCGGCTTTTACGATCAAAAATAGTGAAGAAAGTTTCAATGAACATGAGACGAGTAATGTCTCCTACGGTCCCCTGAAAAGCGACTCCTGAAGATGATATTTCTTGAGTATTTCCGAAACTCCATGTGATGAAAAGATGCAATTTGCTACAAGAAGTAAACTTTCCATGCTCAATGCAGTGAAATATTAGATTGTTTTATTAGCGATAAAATCCATAACTCGCTAGTAATTGTAGATGAAAGTGGCTTTGATAATAGGGATTAGCGGTGCTTGTAGATGCGATGAATTGGCCAATTTGAAAATAGAAAATATTCAAGACAAAGGGAAATATTCTCACATAGTTTTGCCAGACACTAAAACCAAGAAATCGATACACCATACTTGAACAAGGATTTCCAGTCAACCCGATCAATTTGTGTAAAAAATACATGTCTTTGAGACCAAAGAATACTAGTTCTAGCCGCTTTTTTGTGTATACCAGTCAGTGTGTGGGAATAAGTACGTTGCCGAAGATACCTTCAAAAGTTGCAAAGTTTTTGAACTTGGAGGAACCAGCGCTCTACACCGGTCACTGCCTGAGAAGGTCTTCGGCGACTCTTTTGGCCAATGCAGGTGCTAACATGACTACTTTGAAGCGTCACGGAGGATAAAAGTCCCCGACGGAAGCAGAAGGATACCTGGAAGAATCGGTGCATAACAAAATACAAATTGCAGAAAAAATACAAGGTTCTAATGTGTCGGCGTCTTCCAGCACTATCAGCAGCTGTACCGATATGGGAGCATCTGGTTCCAATGAACCAACGAATTTTACAATTAATTCAAATTCGAATAAACCGTTAGCGTTTTCCTTTAATTTCAATATCAATTTTTTTTTTTTTTTTTTTTCCTTTATTTGCTCAACAAGAAATACAAAAAATCTTATAGCAAAGAGTTTCAGAGAACCTATAGAATATAATCTAGTAAAAAAAAAAAACTTTCAAAAAGAGAAAAAAAAAATGTAAAGAAAATTCACTGCAGAAATACAATATCAATTATAAAAATACAAATAGATATGCAAATACAAATTCAAATATGCCCCCATTACAAATCTCCGAGGAGAAAGAAAGAATCAAATGTGCTTGTATACAATCATAGGTAAGAGAGATATACAATTCATTCGTAAAAAAATACATTATGACCGATGGAAACGTTCACTCAATTCATGTAGTATATAAGTTGGTACATATTATATTAAATTGCTTAAGGATCTAACGATATAGAGGAAAATGAAATTATTCGTTGACGATGAAGGCACGTAGCTTCATGATTTCATGAACACACTCGTAAATAATCTTGGCCTCAACAGTACTTATATTTTGAAGAGCAGCAGCTAGAGAGTTTCGATTTTCCAAAAAAGATACGTTGTTTGGCCTGACAACAGAGAGTATAGGACAAATAAATAAGATATGTTCAAGAGTTTGTTGTTCGTGCATATTACATAACGTGCACAATTCTATAAAATGTACCTTCGAACGAAATTTTCAGACGATTAAAGTATGCCATGCGCATTTGCGCGATGATTCTGGTGGTATGAATTGGGACTTTGAAAAACAGGTATTTTTGTGCGGTGACAGAGTTTGCAAGATTTGGGAAACTGAATAGAGGGTACCGAGAAATCAAATTGTGTCCATGAAATCCAGTAAAGCACGTCCCCTAGAATTCACAGTAATATCTCTACTAATTCTTTCATCATATAGATTAGTACCTTCGAGCACCTCATCAGATATTTCGCCAAGATTACCTACTCTACAATTAAAATCACCGATAAAAACTATGAGGTGGTCGGGGTATTCATCAAACATACTGGACACAGAAAGCTGGAAATTTGATAATATATCGTCAATATTCAATGATGGTTTTATATAAAGAAAGCATAGTATAAAAGAGAAACTCTGATGCTTTATAAAACACGAAATCCACCAGGGGGTTTTCTCAAGTATAGTGCATGAGAAACTTGTTTTTACAAAGATGCACAGACCACCGCTTGCACGACCGTTAGATTTTTCACTCATCGCCGGGACACTTATTATTTGACAATCCGAAAAATTGTGGGGGAGACTAGTTAACTCCACCTTGAGCCACGTCTCGCAGACACACAGGATATGGAAATCAACAGCAACATCATGGAATTCAGAAAGATGCTTGAAACCTTGTACATTCCAAGCAATTATTGTCAGTGGTTGCTATTGTTTGGTGACTTGCTTATGAACCTTCAAACCCGAGTTGCGTTTTGGAGAATATTCTTCATCACGTGTCCTCTTAGAAGGTAAGGAAATGTTTCCACTATCAGTTTTGGTTGTCTTGACTATTTTGGGCCTATTATTAATATATTTGATAGTTATATCAGCTTCCCCATGACTTTTCCTCTCTTCAAGTTCGGATCTAAGCGCATTTAAATGTTTCTGTTGATTTGGAGTTAGATCTGCTCTAATAGAGATATTGGGAAATTGTTCTCTTGATAGCTTGCGCTTATTCCTCAGAATGTCAAGAGCTATTTCGGATGATAGCAGGATGATTTTGAGCGGCCGCTTTCCACTCGTTGACTTACCAAAACGGATGGCCTTTCTGATATTCTGTTCAGATCCTGGCGCAACAGATTGCAGTATATTTTTAGCCAAGCCCAGATCATCATCATTACCCCTGGACTCAGGCAAACCCATTATCAAAATGTTTTTTTCCCTGAGGATACGCTCATTACATTCGAAGTAAATTTCATCATTACCCTCCATTACATGATTTTCCAGTTGAGATATTCGGTCGTTTAGTTTCAAATTGTTACATTGTATCGAGGAAATGTTCGACTCACAGTTGGAAATGGCAGTTGCATGAGAGGCCACTAGAGAATGCAGGTCTTCAATATGTTTGTTGCATGAAATGATAGAACTGTTGAGGGAAGAGAGCTGGTTCATGATCAATTCAAAGTGCTTGACCGTCAGAGGTTCATCCTTATTCATAGCTACAGTCGATTTAAAGGAAGAGTCTGAATTTTCGGCGCATTTCGTACATATCCACGTCGAATCTGAGAGCAGCTGACCACAGGTCCGATGCGTCTGTTCGAAGCATACTGAACAATGAAGGCTATCGTTATTATCGCCACTGATAGCGGACTCGCACACTCCACAGGTAGAGGGAGGCGGCATCGTGTACGAATATCAAAATAAACTGTTACTGTTTGATGAACGAACGGCACAGAAAAAAGAGTAAATATAGAGTTAAACTCACTAGAATTACAAGAAATTCACCAAATGTATTCCTTGAGTCATCAACAATCACTAGGACAAATTACACCCTGTATATTATTTCATATATACATTGAGCATGAAGTGGGCTTTCCAAAAATATATAATTGTATACAATTATTTTCCATTTAAAAAAACATATGTTTGCTCCATAACTAAAAAACAAAAGGTGCTAGCAAAAAAATAACTACGCCACTGAATTCTACGAGAAAAACTCTATGAAAACAAGTTTTAACTTCTTCGATAAGTTCAAAGATAACTGAGACACGGAGGGTGCCTGAAAAGTGATATTTTTCAATTCCACCCTGTATCTCGACAACCGGAAGAGCTATCACAATTCTGCTTGCGCCATTATTAATTTCATAAAAAAGTAGCACACTGTCGCGAAAACCGCAATGCTCTATCTTTACTGATAAGGGAGATACCCCGCAAAAGTGCCCAAATTGGGATACCCTGTACAGTTTCACATACAATAAGGAATTATAGCTATACGTTAATCCATATGTATATATTCTCTGATATTAAAATGTTGTTACATGCATTTTTTTCATTTATATAATAGTTGTTCTGCTAGAAGTGTACCACTATGAATTGAAGTGCGTGTTTGTACCCTATATCCATTGTCCATCTACGGCTATGATTGATTTGACAGAAAATATAACCTCTAAAATCGTATCTGACAATCAGGCGCTACTAGGGGAATTGAAAAGACAAAGAGCAGATTATATGTCCTATTCTTTTATTCACTTGAACCATTGTATTATAGAAAATAGAAAAGGACAAAAGTGTGTCCGTGTCCAGCTGTGTCCGAACTCTTATCAAACTAATACCATCCAGTGACTCTAACTTATACTATAGTGTGTTATTTGATAGTTAACTTGTCGAAAATGACATTAACAATGACAGTCATAACTATCATGTGTTGGATAAAGTTATTCTATCTAAGGATGCAAGAGAATCTGGAGGAACGTAGGCAGAGCATCCACTCGGCGGCGGTGCAGACCAGCGGCGAGCAGCAGACGCTCAACGTCAGCACTCTGGCAACACTGGCGGGCGCCCTGGTGATGTTCCGCTCGCTGGCCGAGAAGCTGACGCCCGTCGTCAAGCCGCTGATGCAGTCCATACGGTGCGAGAGCGACGAGGACCTGCAACGGTTGGCCGCCGAGCACCTGGCGCGGCTGCTGGACCAGTGCCGAGAGCGGGTGCCCAATCCCTGCGATAAGATCATAGCGAACTTGTGCATCTTCCTCAGGTAACCCCTGATTTTTAGATACCGTAACGCATCTCTCAACGTTCCGCAATCAGAACCGCAAGACGATGAAATAATGTTGGCATTTATAGATTTGCCTGAATTTGACACTCGCCAATCTTTGTGTTTAATTTTTGTTGGGACTATCAAGTATCAAGTATCATTTTTGAAATTAGCATTGTTTCAAAGCACGAGGATCAATCTATTCAACCCTCAAGGTATTCCAATTCTAACAATGGCACTGCTACAGCTGGAGTTATGTTATGTTATGCTTTCAAGATATGATCTCTGCAACCATCTGCTCCAGCTTTAAAATGTTCCATACACCAAGAAGCAACAAATAGGTATCTTACATGATCTCACCAGAAGAACAGTTTGCATCAATTACTTCATCATATATGAATGAATAAATTGAAGATACCAGATACCTTCTTCCAACTAGTCACCTCAATTGATGGCATTGTTATTTTTGCAATACCTGTTTGACTTATATAAAATGGAATAATATTCTCCTCTTCCTAATGTAAATCAAACAATACATCCAACCTCCCTTCTGCATGACTGTATGTCACCGTTCCACAACGCGAATATAGAAATATGGACATAGGCATCTCCCGCGTTGCAGCCATGATCAGTGTTTAGCAGAACGATATTCTGTAAACAGTACTGGAAAAATCCTATGATTTATCTTCTATCGTGTAACGGAAGTACTTGCTTTACATTAGGTTGTTGAATCTATAAATCAAGGGTGAGTGTGTACCCTCTCCGGCACAGTGTCGAGACTTTTTTGACCCGTGCTGCGCGCATCCTCGATTCAGGATAGTCTCGAAAAAAATAAAACCGTAATATCAATAGTTGTAAAAGAGAAAACAGCCGGTACACCGATTGTACCACCGTGCACTTTATGAAGTTTCAGATATCTTCTTGAAGTGAATGTAAGTAAGTAACTCATAATCAGTAATCAGTCTCAATCTCATCGATACTTGGATTATCTTTTATTTCATCCATGTCTATTTTACAACTAGAATTCTCCGCTTTTCAAATCAATCAATCTTTGCTATTTATTTATCAGTTACCTCCGCATCAGAAATGAACAAAGAGTTTTTTGTCTTGGAAATCAACTTGATTCAGCAATATAGCTCTTGAAGTCTTCATTTATTTATTTATTCTAGATTTAATGAGTGTGACATTCCTTTTTTTTCTATATTACTATATTCTTGTGAGAATTCATTAATTATTTCTGCATTTCGAATAGAGTTATTAGTTTCAATACTCATAAAATAAATTTATATATTTATTCATTTATTGAATCGAGTAAAATCTACATTTTGTCATCGAACATCGATTACATGTATATATAATTCATATTGTATCTCCTTCACATAGGTTAGTGACCTGAGGGTGAAAGAGATGAAGTATTTCAGGTATAAAATTGTTTTCCCATAAAATAAATACTTAAACTGGAAACAAATAATCAATTCATGCAATAATGCAAATTAATTAAAATGAAGAAAAATAGAGTTGATTAAAAAAGATCATCGATATACTTTTACTTCACATATTGAATGATGTCATTATTTTAAAATCAATAGTTTAGAAGTAATTCGGTGTTTAGTTGGTAAAATGCGAATATTTCAAAACAAAGATATTGTGACATTTCTAGAGTTTTCCCTTAAAACTTCGAGTGCATTTGACGGCTATACTACTTGGATAATTTGCCATCGAAATGTTCTGAATTGTTAACATTGAATAATGCATATTATATCCCTTGAAACTCTTTTAAAACATTAGATTCATTGGTTGAATCACTGAATTAGATGAATAAATGAATAGTGATGCCGTTTCAGTCAGATTATTTTTGGAATTCAGCTGCCACTATTTAGTATTGAGCTTCAAATACTTAAATGATATTTTTAACCAGTTTTCTTGAAATAAAGCAATTTATTATCATTTTGAACCGAATATTCCCAATTTTTTTTACATGATTTCTTGTTTGTATACTTCAGGTGTGATCCGGATTTTACACCTGTCATTCACAAACAAGATGATAAGAATCACATTCAGCGCGAGAGACCCGGTAACTATAATGGCATCGTCACTCTGAATAATCAACAAAGAATCGCAGAAAGGGCAGCTTTGAAACGTTCGAACAGCACCGGTAGAGGACCAGGACGACCTTCCACCGCCGAAGTGCCCGTAGGTAAGTGTTGCCAACAATGAGATATCGGTACCGAAATTGAGACAGGAATTCTATGTTACGAAGATTCCAGTTTTGTACTCTAGTCGAAATGCAACACCGCATCGCCGTGATCCGCGGAAGGTCTACCCACGACTAGCTACCACTGCGAGATAGGCAAACACTATCTACCGCTAACCGCGCTAACATGACATCAATTTCTGTCTTTGACATAAATAATTGAACTTTAATGAAAAAAATAGCAAGAAATAATGGGTCAGATCACAGTTGAGGTTTTTTTCAGTTTCTTGGATAAAATGAACAACAGGCAAGTCCCATTTCACTTCGCATTTCAAATACCAAACAAATTATTGCTTGGAGAAATATTCAAGTTGGAGGATAGTTGTGGCAAGTATCGTTTGTTAGGTAAAATGAAAAAATTCCTAATGAGTTCATAAACAGAATGAGAAGTGTTGTATAACATAAAGGACATGATTATTGTAGAAGAAGAATATCTATTTTTTTAATGTGTACTTGTTTCAATTGATCAATCAAAATTTCAAAATTTTTGGAATGAGGTAAGCTTTTTTCGCAAGATACTATGAGGACTTTTTTTTTCAGATATATCAAACTTTTCTCTATTAAGTCAAAGAGATAATTCTATGTTCTTCGGTCTGATTATTTGCTGTGTGATCTGAGCTGTTTCTGTATCTTGCTAGAATATTCTGAAGTTGTGACCACCTACTCAATCTCCTATCATAGGGAAGACTCAATTTCAAATCATTGAATCCCAACATATTATCACCTAGTAAAACTTATACCTCCATCTCACTCAATACTACAACTTGGGAAGTAATTTTCAACACATCTGACTGTAAACCTAATTGATAAAAGTCTAATGTACTTTCCAATCCCAACAACTATCAAATTTCAATTTCTCTGCATATTCTCCAACTACCTACTAATTGAGAATAAGGTCGGATTTCTCAAAATCAACTATTTTTTTTTATTTTCAACAGCTAAACATTCCTGACGTCTTTCATCAGGATTTGTTCTTAATGATGTATTAGGTTTAGAAAGATAACTTGGTAAATTTGGAAAAATAGAAGGAACTGCTGTTTCACAACCTGTGGGTTTCTTAGCAAATGTTTCCCAATTGATCCATCTGGAAGAGGAAACGTATCAAATATCTGTTTCAACGAAATGAATAGCACACACTGCTGAATATTGAGATGGGGATCAATTTTTACGAGGTATCGAAGATATCCACTTTTTCCGCAGTTTTTCATCTTTAGGAGATTTAAAAATCGAAATATATTTCTTTTCCGAAGCGTAATTTGACTTACACCCTGTCACACAGCAATTATTTGGCATCTTCTTATGAGAAAGGTTGAAATTACTTACTTTGCTTGCAAGAATAAGACAACATAACCCCAATTCAAAAACAATTTTTGATGAGACTTTCACACACACAGAAAAAACAAACACCCTTTCACTTATAACTCGATCACTAGAATATTCCTTACACTTTTCACTGGCTTTCAACAATATTTCACATTGATAACACATCAATATACTCTTGAAAACTAAAAACAATCACTCTGTTACATCCAGAACCCATATATCAAATTAGCGCGATTGGCTGGTAGTAGTTTGAACAGTGTTGCCAGACTGGGCTCACCGCGTCACAGGAGGCTGTGATTATGCAGAAGGTCGGGTAGTTCGGATTTTCTGGTACGTTGTATCTATTCGCGGCATCCAAGGTCATCATCTGGCATTGCGATTACATAAAAACCTAGGGAAAACATGTCTAACCTTCAATCTAAGTCAGAAGTTAGGAAAACATGAGGAAACATTCTCCTCTTTTCTATATTATTCGTCTTTTTTCAACACATGCAATGAAAAGAGATCAGAATACTCGTATAGCGCGGCAATGTTGGGATTACTGAACATTGAAGGGCAATGTTGGGTAATGCGGGGCATTTTTGAGTAAAAAAGAGGCATTGCGTGGCAGTTTCGGTAGATTGTAGCATTCAGGCTAAGTACTCACCCCACGCTTCAAATGCGATACCAAAAAAACAGAACCACCCGACCTTTCGCATTCCTGGATGTACAAATTGATTAAAACCATTGATATAATCTGATTCAACTCCCCGGCTAGTTTATCAATTATAAAGCCACTTAAAATCCTTCAGAATAAAGTTGTCAAATGCATATATAAATTGGATTATTTGGCACCAACAAGAAACCTTTATAAACCAAATAAAATATTAGATCTTTAGTCGATATATAAATTCAAAATATTAACATTCGTTCATTCAGTCGAACACAATTATAAACATTCCAATTTGAATTTTAAAATTAATGCTGATATACATTCAACTAGACAAACAGACATGTTTTCCCTCATTAAAATCAAATCTGAATTTGGCAAGAGATCTATATATTACAATGGATTATTACTTTGCAATGAATTGACAACAAAACTTTAAAAGAATATCAATACCAAAAAAATCAAGAAAGAACTCAAAAAATATTTATTGGTCTGAATTTTTGCCTGTGGAAATATTTCCAACAACATATAATCTCCAAAATTTCAAAAAAAATTCCAATACCTACCTCCTGTCCTTATCCTCCATAGGAACGCACGATGTTCTTTGAACATTACTAGAATAATTATATTATACCTATTAATACTATACAGGGTGAGTCATGACTAACCAGCCATAGCCCAATGGCGGATAGACGAGGTCAAGGTGAGTTGATATATATATAATAAAATATTTTTTGCCTTTTCTTTACAGAAATACAGGGCATTATTTGAATTTGGGGCAAAACTCCAATAAACGATATTTCAGGAACGTCTCGATGTTATCGGCTGAAATTCACTAGCAACTAACCTCTTATGACACTCCACAAGATGACGTACTATGAATGAAAAATTATAGATCCGGACTTGGAAAATTCATTTTCTCTTTAGATGTCAAAATTTTGACGTTCTGGATCGGATTTTTCGAAAACTTTTATCAGAATCAGAAAAATCAGGAAAAATACTACAAGTATGGCTTTTCAATTCGTACGGCACACTTCGATCGTTTTGGTGAAAAAATATCAAACAAAATACCGATGAATTTTTCTTCGATTTCGTCCGGGCATATCACTCTCTACATTCGAATAAAAGAAATCAGATCAAATTTTTCCCCTGAAAGATTCAACAGCACACTTGAGAAAAGATATAATTCAATAAAAAATTCAGGACCGGCCTTGATTTTGTAAAAAACCAATCATAATTTTCGAAAAAAATTTGTCAGAATCTTAATATTAATCAAGATTCTCAAAATGTCCTCCTTCAATTTCTAAACATTTTCTGCATCACTTCGGGAGGCCTCTCATGGCTTTTCCAATGATTTGCCTATTATTTCTGATTATATCTGCAGCTGTTACTATATTCTCCCTCAGTTCGTCTCTGGTGTTGACTTCAGTCTGATAGATCAATTGTTTCATATGCCCCCAATGGAAATAGTCCGAAACTGTGAGATCAGGGGACCTAGGAGGCCAAGAATGAGGGCCGCCACGACATTTGACAGTTTCAACAACCGTCAAAAATCGAGTCAATGACATACACTACAATATCACAGCCTTCTTTTCATGTGTATTCAAAATCGATGAACTACTAAACTCACAATTTGATTTGCTGATTGGGAGAGGTCACAAGAAATGAGATCATATATTCAGTATTACTTCAAATCAAAATCCCTCCATCTAGTATAAGTTGGCACGTATATCTGATTCGAAAAATAATCTGCTCCAAAGCAACAATTGTTCTTATTGAATACAATGTTTTCACATTATCACAAGTAGAAGTTAGATTTCAATTGAAAATTGGGAGAGAATAGTTACAGCTGCAGATATAATCAGAAATAATAGGCAAATTATTGGAAAACCATATACGGAATCTCCCGAAAAGATGCAGAAAATGTATAGAAATTGGAAAACATTTCGAGAATCTTGATTAATATTAAGATCTAGAAAAATCTTTTTCGGAAATTATAATTGTTATTATCCAAAATCAAGTCCGGTACTGGATTTTTCATTGAATTACACCTTTTCTCAAGTCTGCAGTTGAATCATTCTAGGAAAAAATTGATATAATTACTTTTAGTCGAATTTAGAGAGTGATATGCCCTGACGAAATCGAAGAAAAATTCATCGGTATTTTGTTTGATATTTTTTTACCAAAACGATCGAAGTGTGCCGTACGAATTGAGAAGCCATTATTGTAGTATTTTTCCTGTTCTTCCTGATTCTGATAATAGTTTCCGAAAAGTCCGATCCAGTAGGTCAAAATTCTGACATCTAAAGAGAAAATGAGTTTTCCAAGTCCGGATCTGGAATTTTCTATTCATAGTATGTTATCTTGTGGAGTGTCATAAGAGGTAAGTTGTTAGTGAATTTCAGCCGATAACATCGAGACGTTCCTGAAATATCGTTCATCGAAGTTTTGCCCCGAATTCAAATAATGCCCTGTATTTCTGTAAATAATAGTCAAAAAATATTTTTTTACATATATATCAACTCACCTTGACCTCCGCTATCCGCCATTAGGCTATGGCTGGTTAGTCATGGCTCACCCTGTATATTGAATGTAATGTAATACATTATGGTTCGTTCGTGATGATGAATCAAAGATATGTTCAATCCCAATCGTAAATCATCACAGTCGAATCGTCCTTGTCGTTCCAGATGACGTGCCGAAAGAGGAGGACGAGAAGCGCCGAGCGAACTTCGTGCAGCGTCGCGGCGCCACCGCCGCCCTGGTGGCCGTCGCGCGGCACTTCGGGCGGTCGCTGCCCGCCAGCATGCCCAAGCTATGGGAAGAGATGGCGGGGCGGCTGGTCGAGGCTGTCGACCCACTGGCGTTCGATCCGGCAGCGGCGGTCGGGAAGGACGCGGAGGCTGAGCGGATAGTGTGGGCGTTACAGGTACTCGGAAATTTTCCTTTATCCGAATCAAAGATCATACACACACTAGCAATGAACTCAATATAAACAACTGGAAGGGAGACGGCCGTTCTCTCGAATAGAACAAAGTGTGTCGGGGGCAGCTGCAACAAAGATAGCATGATTTACGGTAACCTGTCTCTTTCCTACTCGTTTTGTTCAATAGTGGATTGGTGTTTACGTTCTCTTTATCTAATGATTAAAGTACTTAATAATTTTTTCTATCATCTAAACAGGCAAAAAAGTGAAGACATAAGTTCATTATCTTTGTTCATGTGAAATATCTATTCATTTGGCGTGTTTTGTTTCATAAAAAGGACTGAATTTGTTGGTGTGAACACTGTGAACTGATTGTTGAGAATGTTTTGATAAACAATGGTGATTTATTGTGTCGCGTTTGGATGCAAGAACGAGCAAGACAAAAGGAAAATGTCATTCCATAGGTAAGGTGAATATTGTTCAGATTTTTGGAAAATATAGTTCTTGAAATGATCATCAGTTAGGTGTACAATGTTCCCAGTCTCAGGATATGTTCAGAAACTATACCTATATTATTTGTGGAAGTTAAATACTTCCATGACTTTTCCATAAGCATATTAAGTAATATTATTTGTTGCAGTTTTCCATTCTGACATTCTTGAATCATGAATTGAGGCAGTTCGTAGAGAGAGTTGGACTCCATCTAAAACCAGCAAGCTTTGTGGAGAGCATTTCCTGCCAACTGATCATTTATTTAGTCGTACTGCTAGGTTAATGAAACCAGATGCTTTACCCAGTATATTTCCATTTCCTAAGCATTTCTTACCAAAAAATACTGATCTTTGAAGGAAAATAAGAAAACTCATAGGTAGTAGTTGATTAATAAAGAAAAAAAAAAAGGATGTTTGCACCTCTTTGAAATACAAAACTAGCTAGTAATTTATTTTCAGGATGCATCTGTGGAAGTTCATAACATTGGGTCCTAAGGAAGATGTTTCTCATATTATGGACTTTACCTATGACATCCAGCTCCCAATTTTCGGGGTTCATCAATAAAGAAACTCAAACTGTTTCATTGGAGTAGGATATTGTATTGAGAATTGTATTATTTCAATTTCTAATAGGGATATGTTTGTAGGCAGTAACCTAATGGTAAAATAGGAACCTATGGAAATTATGCTCAAAACGGACCTTTGGTAGTCAATACCATTCAAGAACCTCTTTTCAAATTTTTCCGATCGTGTTTCTTTTTCTTTTGATAGTGCTAAGACATTGTGCTTCGCTCACCCTGTACAATATATTGTGACATTTGAATGAAAATATATAATTTTGATTTTGTATCAATTTGACTTCCTAATCCTGTAAGAATAAAAATGAAATTCCATTTTTGAGTCAATAAAAAATTCAATAATAATTTTTAAATAATAATTGATCGCAACATTTTCCTTTCTTCCTATATGAATATTTTCATTTAATCACGTTTACTCTCAAATAAAAGCAAAAAACGAGAAAATATTTCAAATAATGCGAGCGCTTCCCATTAGCGAACATAAGATAGAGAGAGATAGGTATCCGTAAACACTGCGGGTTACCTGAACAATATTTTCGCCTCACTCGTCGTTCACAGAGGGTCCCTTCCAGTTGTTTATATTGAGTTCATTACACACTAGATAAGCACCGTTAATGTAAGAATGGGCAACGATAAGTTGGGAACGAACAGAGCAGTGATAATGCGCTGTGCGCATCTATTTATTATCTGTTCAAGTGTTCTATCTATGTTTCTGATGCCCCCAAGTATTTCAGAAGTTGAAGAAATAATTGATGACTTAGATGTACGAAAATATAGTGAATTCGACGGAATATCTGCCAAAGTTGTAAAAGTGATCAAAGTAGAATTAGCTCCGATTTTATTGTATATTGTTACTAGGTCTTTCAAAACTGGAATTGTACCAGATGAAATGAAAATTGCTGAAGTCATACCGATACATAAAACTGGAATAAGAGATGCTGTTTGACTTGCAACCATTTTAAGTGCACCTGAAATGATCACTGAACATGCACCAACTTTTGGCACTATCTGTATTTTAGCTGTGCAATTCATTAAAAAGATTCCCATATGTTGAACACTCAAAAGTATCTCCCATTATTGGTGCTTTGAGAAGATGTCCTAAACTTAGTACATATACAACAAATATTATTCTCTATTCACATATACTCAGTCGAATTAACTATCTCATAAATATTTGGGGATCTTGTTCCAAAAATAGTTTCAACAAAATTTCTGTTCTATATAAAAAGGCATTGAAAGTATTGTATCGTCTTCCATATGATACTCCAACGAATCAACTGTATAAGGAAACAAACACATTTTCTTTGGAAGAGCACATTTTAATCAATACTCTCAAAATTTCCTACTATATCATCAACAAAAAGCTTAAATCAAATTTTATATTAATCAGGAATTCCGAAATTCATGATCATCACACCAGACAATATAACTTGTTTCATCTTGAAGCTGCAAATTCTAAACTTGGGCAAAAAAAGTTAACACATGAGGCGATTTCGAAATTCAATAAATTACCAGATGATATCAAAAACAGCCCAAATATTATGCTATTCAAAAATAAAGTCAAGAAATATATTTATATGCAAAGGAATGATCAAAGCTGAACGAATTTCCTTTTTTCTTTTTTTTTTTCTGTTTTTATTTTTCCTCGTCTTGTTCACTATAATATGACTGTATCTTAATGATATGTAAGTTTTGTTCACTATTTGTAATTTCAATTATACAACAGTCGATAATACTTCATGAATGATCTTATACCAGGAATTACTGTCTGATCATTCATGTCATTCCTACTAGAAAATTAATTATACTTTATATATTATTTGTATGAAATGTATCAATGAAGAAGAGAATGTAATGCAATAACTGAAATAAATAAATAAATAAATGACCACACTGTATACATTTAATCGATATTCCATGACAAAATGTAGATTTTTCTTGATTCAATTAATGAATAAATCAGTAAATATCCTAAATCTTGGACCCTAAAACGTATCGCATAAAACTTCAATTGTGTCGCAGCCTCAACCCTCACCGATTCTGCCTCTTCCAGGTCCTCGAGGTCACCAGCAGCGATCTGCACGCCTCCCTGCTGCCCGATCTGATGACGCAGTGCCTCGGGCGGCTGTGCGTGCTGCTGTCGCACCCGTACCGCGCCGTCCGCCATCTCGCTGCGCGCTGTCTCGCCGCCCTCGCCCGGCTGGATTCGGTGCGCGCGATGGAGATGCTGGTCGGCGCGGTGCTGCCCAAGTTGGGGGCCACCGATCGCGATATCGACAGGTGGGTGGATTATTTATGCCTTTCTCCACCATTAGCTCTAGAACCTACCATTATTTACTCCTTTTCAAGGTGTAAAGTGTGTTTTTACTACTAAGGTAGTTTTCTTCATTTTATGAACCACTGGTCAATAGAGACATAGCCACTTCTGATATAATACAGCCGGCTCTATAACAAGCCGCGGTAAGAGAAATGCAACACCGCATCGCCGTGATCCGGAAGGTCTATTAGATTTAGATTAGATTTGGAATGGGGCCTTCGGGCTATCTGCCTCCACACTGCGACCTTTTCAGATCTATTGTGCCTGCCCTCAAAATGGATTAGAGTTCTTCGGCTAGCCCCGCCTTCTCTATGAGACTCCATAGGCTAGCTTTCAGATCTTCTGTGTATCTCTGGGCTCCTGGTTTTTCCTCACCCAGCGTAAGAATAGTCTTGACAATCCCTCACAGTGGCAAAGTATGTGTACTGCTGTTTCTTCCTCTTCTTGACAGAACCTGCACAGCAGTTCTTCAGTCAAACCTATCGTACTCATGTGTTTGTTGGGCCTACAATGCCCTGTGAGAAGTCCCACTAGTATTCTAGTTGAACTTCGTTTCTGGCTTAGTAGATATTCTGTGAATGTTGGCGATGGTTTTTTAATAAACTCTTGCCTGCGACATAGCCAAACACTGGTACGTTACCGCTAACCGCGCTAACGTAACATCCTTTTCTGTCTAAATAAATACTTAGACTTTCATGAAAAAAATAGCTAGAAATAATGGGTCGGGTCAGAGGTCAGGTTTTATTCAGTTTCTTGGACGGAATAAACAACTGGCAGAGAACCCATTTTACATCAACCATTCAAAACATTGTTTAGAGAAATATTCAAGTTGAATGATAGCTGTTGCCAGTATCGTTTGCAGGGTAAAATGAAAGACTTTCTAATGAGTTCATACACAGAATGAGAAGTGGTGTATAACATAAAATACATAATTATTGTATAAGAAGGGTATCTATTTCAAGTTTCCTAGAATGAAGTAAGCTATTTTCGCAAGATACTATAAGGGCTTTTTTCATATATATCAATCTTTTCTCTAGTGAGTCATCAAATTAGCTAATGGTACATTTAATTCATAATGTACCAACAGATTCCTTGCTGCAGTTTTTGTGCATTGTACAATAGCACAATGTGATGGCTTGAGCGAATTGATGAATAGCCGAAAAATACGATTCGTATGTCAAAATAATTGTGAAAAACTATTTCAATCACTCGTGAACAAATAAGAAAAGTGAGGTTGTGTTCCAATGTTGTTCCTTCAGGGTCTGTCATCTGACAGTTCTTGCACGCAACCCATTGGTATTTCGACGGTAAGTTGGGTTATTCTTCTTTGGACTTGAGAAGTGGTGTAGTTATTGTTGGTTTTATAGAAAAAATTAAAAGGGAATGACTTTGTACTGTATATGTTCGTTTATTATATTACTATTATATAATTGAAATCGTTGTTGGATGAATCATATTTGAAAGAAACGGGAATTTATTAGTCGTTGGAAGTTTTCGAACCAGTTGACGTGTATAGCGCAATTAATATACAGTGAGCTTATCCAAACTGGTCGTTTGAATTTATTTGCCCCATCCTTATAGCAAATTCAACTAAATTATTGCATATAACGTTTTTTCTTTTCTTTAAATTCCAATGAATGATGGATTAAAATATGGACAATGCTGAATTGATTTGTGGTTTTTAAGTCTGGCACCAGAGGCCGCACACTTCGTGATTTTGCCGAATTCTTTGGACTTTTTTGAATTCAAATTGGATGATCATTCCACGATCGTTAAGAGTTTCGCTAGATTTCGCCTTTTCTTCTCAGACTAGGTGCCGTGGAGGCGATAGCTTGCATACTCGACGCGCTGAGGTACAAAAACATCCCGTACATGGTGTTGCTGTTGCAAGTTTCGCCACTCATATAATTTTTGTGTTGACAATGCTGAATTGATTTGTGGTTCTCAAGTCTGGCACCAGAGGCCTTACACTTCGTAATTTTGGCGAATTCTTTGGACTATTCGAATTCAAATGAGGGCTTACAGCTCCACCGAAACATGAGGTCAAGGTTGGTAGAACTGATAAATATACTTTCATTTTCGTGTCATTTGGCCTATGATATCTTCTTCTCCGTCAATGTGAGAATTGGTCGTAAAGTTATACATTGAGATAAAAAAACTTGAGACAGCTCACGTCTTTCGATAACTTGAGGTTTTCTATTTGGTCAAATATTCTACATCATTTTTTTCGAATATTTTCGATAAAACGGGTCATACTTTTCAGAGCTATCCGGTAAAATTTTGGGATTTTTGACTTCGACATTGACCTCATGTTTTTGTAGCGCCAACTGGGGAGAATGGAAATGTTAGCTCTCATTGGAAGATCATTCAACGATCCCTAAAAGTTTCACTAGGTTTCGTCTTTTTTTCTCAGACAAGGTACCGTGGAGGCGCTGAGGTATAACATAATTCCGTACATGGTGTTGCTGTTGCAAGTTTCGCCACTGTTATAATTTCTGTGCTGACAATGCTAAATTGATTTGTGGTTCCCTAGTCCGACACCAGAGGCCGCACACTGTGATTTTCGCGAATTCTTTGGGCTAATCGAATTCAAATTAGAAAATCATTCCATAATCCCTAAAAGTTTCACTAGGTTTCGTCTCTTTTTCTCAGACAAGGTGCCGTGGAGGCGATAGCTTGCATAGTGGACGCGCTGAGGTACAACATCATCCCGTACATGGTGTTGCTGGTGGTACCTTTGCTCGGCAGGATGTCCGATCAGAATATGTGCGTGCGGCTGATGGGCACGCACAGTTTCGCCACTCTCGTGCAGCTGATGCCGTTGGACGGCGGCGTTCCAGAACCACCTGCCTTGAAAGGTGAGTAGTTGTGATACGTCTGTTCTGGACATATTCCTGAATTTTGACAAGTTTATTATATTAGCTTCCACAGTACTTTTTTCAATTAATCACTTCGAAGAAAGAAACAAAAATTGGTGGAGTACGGGATTAGAACCCACAACCTCTGGCCATTGTATTTTGTGTGAACTTATGTACAAATAATTTATTGAGGTTGGAATACTTTTCACCACACGGATTAATTGTTGCATCGCATCCTTATGACACACCATTGGGTAGTATTGAAGTCGTGCTTGTGTCTCTGTCGACGACATGATGCATGTCAACACAAAATTGTAATAAAAGTGAAGTAATCTGAGGCCGTGTTTCTATCTACTTACTCATATTATAATAATTTGTCAAGTGAGTCACGTTGGTGGTTACTTCACTTATATTTATTTTAATCTGGTGTTAATTTGGTTGCAGAAAAAATAGCATGTTTCATTCGGATAAAAAGTGACTTCGTTTGACATGCAAATTTTGCTTTCGCTCGGTTTCGCTAATGCTTGGCTCGCATTCGTAAAATTCCCTTGTCAAACAAAGTGTCACGTTTGATCCTAACAAAACAATCTACTAATATTTTTTCATGTGCTTTTCATTCAAAAGATCAAGCAAATTATATATGAAGTCATTTCTCATATTATTTGAATCAATAATTCAAATAAGTAATCATATTCATGTAGAATATAATTTTCTGGGGCCCAGGATCTAATGAAACACAATTCAATGAATACAATGATATTTTTCATGTCACTTCTTTCGTCGTGTTCCGCTTCCGAATTTTGTATGTTTCTTCAATGTTTTGTTTTAATTAAAATACTAATAGGTGCATCACCAAATTATTTGATGAATAAGCTGACTTATAGCGAAGAAATGTATTATCACAATAGCAGACAGAAAGGTCACTATCGGGAAGTAAAAGATTGGCAGAAAATTCGTTTTTAAGGATTGATTTTTCATTGTGTGTGATTCAATCATAAAAAATATTCATTTGTTTATTCAAGGGAGTATTCTCAGCGAGAAGCGTGATAAAGAACGAGAATTCCTTCAGCAGCTCCTTTCACCAGCTACTATTCCTGATTATGCAATCCCAACGGTCATAGATGCTCAACTACGAAGTTATCAACAAGCAGGTGTTAACTGGCTTGCCTTTCTCAACAGGTAATCCAATTAAAGAATAATATTTTATGCTACGTCCAGAAATTAGATGGGATCTATATAGCACATTGTTTCGGCTACCGAAATTTTCATCAAAAAAGTGGAAACTATATGATAACAGGGCTCATACTCATAATATCGTATAAGTGTTATTCAGTTTTGAGAAGCACAAAACAATCATAATAAATATTTGGGGATATTGTTCCAAAAATAGTTTCAACAAAATTTCTGTTCTATATAAAAGGCATTGAAAGTATTGTATCGTCTTCCATATGATACTCCAACTAGGGTCCCTTGATGGAAATTGACGTTAAAGTCATCATAACAGGGTACGGACAGATCCTCGTCTCCTCTCACTCTAAAGTGTTTGTGAAACAGTTATATAGTTCCATCCTTATTCAATTCTGGGGATAAACACTAGATTTTTGACATTCGTTGTTTTTTAGGTTATATTGAGGTCACTGGCGTATCATACGTAATTTCCATATAGAATTCCTGATTCAACTATACCACAGTATACACCCTTTTTCCGCTAGGGTGTATACTGTGACTATACCAAGATATAGATGAACAATCCTCTAGTTTCAGATTTCAGAGTTAACTACTCCAGCATAATTTTGCGAGGTAGGGAACATATGAATTGTACTGAACGCTCAATATATTTTCACCAAAAGAGACTGTTCTTAGACTGTATACAAGGGTTGACTGAATTGACTGAATGAATTCTGATTCCAAACTGAGCAGTAGTTTATCCATGAGCTATGAGCTGAATGAGCTGAGCCTTATGATTATGAAATGGTGGAAACCTCGATGTGGGTATCTAGACTACTGTACTCATGTCATGTGTGCTAAATATATTTTCAGAAATCCAACTCGGCGAAGAATTTATGGAGTTACTAATATCACACTATGTATAAAACTTCGTCTAGGACGAAAAGTAATAAAAAGTAATACGTAAAATGTGCAGGGAAATAAAGAATAGAATATACTTATACATATGATTCTTCCGTCTCCCTTAAACAAAAAGTAATTTTCAAATAATTTATTGATGAAAGTAACAAACAAGTAGGTATATGCAGTATAACTTATAGGCACGTTACTTTTACTCTTGCATCCTGCATATTTTCTAATGTCTTTCGCCATATTGGATCCGTCATCTTGTATTTTCCAATTTTGACGAAACAATCATTATCTCCTACCCCGAAAACCCCCAGATATCAATTTTGAATAGAATTGGATCATCATTACAGAACTTGTTCGCCATATGATCTTCCTCAACAGGTGAATACCCTGTACATATCTATTATTAAAATTTGGAATGATTTTCCGTAGCGCCCATGGATGTGACGTGACATCAATGTCAGGGATGCCAATAGACAAAACTAAAGTCTCTAGATCATTAAAAAAGAATGCAGCTATGATCTGTCCGTACCCTGTTGAGATGACTTTAACGTCAATTTCCATCCAGGGACCCTAACTCCAACGAATCAACTGTATAAGGAAACACACATTTTCTTTATAAGAGCACTTTTTTAACCAATACTCTCAAAATTTCCTATTATATCATCAACAAAAAGCTTAAATCAAATTTTATATTATTCAGGAATTCCGAAATTCATGATCATCACACTAGACAATATAACTTGTTTCATCTTGAAGCTGCAAATTCTAAACTTGGGCAAAAAAAGTTTACACATGAGGCGATTTCGAAATTCAATAAATTACCAGATGATATCAAAAACAGCCCAAATATTATGCAATTAAAAAATAAAGTGAAGAATAGTTATTTATGCAAGAAGTGCAAAAAGTGAATGTTTATTGCATTCGACGTGAAATTGTCCGACGAGGCCGTTAGGCCGAGTTGGACAACACGTCGAGTGCACGAGTTGAATACAACATTTTTTCTACGTTCATGCAAAAAGCAAAAAATGATTTATCGAGGTGCGGCACTTGGTACAATTCTGTTAATTGTCAGAATTAATTTTTGACTGACGTTTCTATAACCACAGTTGCATTATAGAAAATGTTTGTCATGATGACAGCACGTTGAAGTAGAAAGACAGATGAGTGCAATAAAAACTTTATTGCACTAAGTGCAATAAAGAACTTCTTTTTCCACTGAATATAGTTCAATAAAGTTCTGTTTTTTGCATGAATGTAGAAAAATACATTTATATGCAAAGGAATGATCAAAGCTGAAAGACTATGAATTTCCTTTTTTTTTCTTTTTTTTTCACTGTTTTTATTTTTCCCCTTCTTGTTCACTATAATATGGCTGTTATTTTGAGATATCTTAATGATATGTAAGTTTTGTTCACTATTTGTGATTTCAATTATACAACAGTCGATAATACTTCATGAATGATCTTATGCCAGGAATTACTGTCTGATCGTTCATGTCATTCCTACTAGAAAATTAATTATACTTTATATATTATTTGTATGAAATGTATCAATGAAGAAGAGAATGTAATGCAATAACTGAAATAAATAAAAAAAAAAAGAAATAAAAAAAAATCATGTTCCAATTATAAGAACATATTTATTTAAAAAAACAACTAAGTAATGACAAATTATTTCATAACGATGATGACCACTGGATTCCAACTAAAAAAAAATGTATGAGAGATAGTTTGCACATTTTTGATAAGTTGAAAGATGACTGAGATACGGGGGGGTGGGTGGTTCACAAAATGCTGTATTTTTAATTTCGCCGTGTATCTCGAAAACGAAGTGGGCTATGAAAAAAAAAATGCTTGTGGTTTCGTGAGTTTTATAATAATGTAGTCAACGTTTATCTTTAAAAATGCATGAGATATGCCTTTAGGACAATTTTCCAGATTTTTTTTTATCACCAGTATATCATTAACAAAATGAAGTATCCGTTTCACAATATTACTAAACTTCAAAGGCCGTGTCTAGAACCACTTTAACGTGGATCCTGCTTTTCAGAACGCCTCCACGCTACCATGAATGTAGTGACGTCAACGTTTTGCGTGGATTTTTCCTTCTTAATTAATTCACGTTAATTTCGCGTAGAGCAATCCCTTATGATGAATCCACGCTACGCTTCGAGTTTAGAACTCCTTGAAGATCCAACCATGAATTCTAAGACGTCTGCTGCCACGTTCAATGACTCAATAAAAAATGTAACGAAAAGATCCATTTCTTTTCGGCGGAGTATTAACTTTTTTAGCTGATAAAAAGCTCATCAGAAGAAAAATAAAAAGTACTTTTATGTTGTACTTGTTGTAGTTTCGGAAAAAAAGTTGATAGTAAGTGTCACCTTGTAGCACCTGATAGTCAATTTCAAAAATAGGATGATACATTTCGACGCTATGTCTTGGGGCTATTTTGTTCAGAAAACTTGCTGATCGAACCTTCATAATCAATGCATGTCAATGACAAAAAATACATGATATCAGTTGGATTGATCCCCTATACGAAACTACCATGGAATGATCACAAGAGATTTAGTTCTCTACGCGAAATGGCGTGGATCAATCATATTCTAAGGTAATGCTCCACACGAAATTACGTGGATTGATCATAAGGGAATATTTCACGCCAAAGAAGCGTGAGCTAAGCACAAGGGAATGCTCAATGTCAAATTAGCGTGAATTAATCAAGAGTTGAAGATTCACGCGAAGTCTGTGTCACTTTCCTTAATGGCGCATTTTGCGTGGAAGAACTCTGAAAACAAGATCAAATCGTGAAATATTTAATATTCGGCAGATACAAGCTTCACGGTATACTTTGTGATGACATGGGGCTCGGCAAGACATTACAAAGCATCTGCATATTGGCGGGGGATCAGTTCTACAGGGAACAGAAGTACAAGGAGATGAGGACCCCGGATTGCGCTCCTCTGCCGTCCATGGTCATTTGCCCGCCCACTCTGACAGGTAATGAGCAAATTCTCAACATTCAAATTTTCATTCCTCTGTATAGTTTATGAAAATTCACTGAACACATTTCTTATTTTTTTCCTGCGATCAAATGGGGACATTTCCTTCAGATAAAATAAGTTCCGAACTCTCCAGTTTTATGTCCACGCTGTACAGAATGGTGACCAATAAAGTCCCAAGTCGTTTTCATTTTTAAATTGATGAAATTTCTAATTTTCGGGGCGAGCCGTCCTAAAGTTGAAAAATCTCGATTTTGAACACCCTATATCTCTGTGATATTTTTCGATAGACCCCAAGTGTGATGTATCAATAAAATCAGCTCTTCAGGGAGAATCTAAAAATGCGATGGAATACAGGGTGTTCCATTTGAAATATCAATGTTGATACTACCTTCTAGTAAAAGCGGCAACACTGCATTGTCGAAAATATTTTGAATGAGAAGCTTGCACATTTTCATGTATTTCTCCCGAATGATTCTCGTTATAAAGATAGTGTAAGCTCGTCGTGACATACCCTGTATAATATTATATATTATATATATTATTGAATTGTTCGAGGGAAACTACCTTATTATCGAGGAAGGAAATCATTCAATGAATAGTTATTGTATACCGAGGTACGAAAGTCATTTTTCTAAGGCGAGCTGTATTAGATCCCGATATGCTTCAGCTTCGAGGTAAATGAGGAAGCGAGCAATGTAGGTGGCCTCGTAAGGACTGGTAGAGCACTGCAAAATAAGTTGGGTTTGCTCAGTAAAATGTTATTGTAATGGTAGGACATTTTTTCACTGTTTTGCAGTTTCCTACTTATTTTATTAAAGGGCCATCTTTTTTTGATACTCCTTATAGAGTTTTTAGCACCTTGTATCGCTAGCTCTCATCAACACCAGTAAATAATTATACTGTATTCATCGGTGTGAGAAACATATATCTCTCGCGTAGAAATAACTAGTGATCGACGTTTTTACCCCACTTTTGTTCAATTATTTTCTGGTGAAGGACATCAAGTTATTATTCACCTTGTTATTTTTTATACGATCAATTCTATTTCATTCAATTTCATTTCTAACAAATACTTGTTTATTTTTAAAATGTAAATATGATTTCTCAATATGAAATTCCTTATTGAATAATTTAACACCAAAAAAATCATCAAAACATCCTTTTATTCTAGGTCATTGGGTATACGAAGTGGAAAAGTTCCTAAAGCATAATTTCCTGCGCCCTCTCCAGTACAACGGCTCTCCCACTGAACGAGAGAAGCTCAGACACAAATTCAAAAAGTACAATTTAATCGTCGCCTCTTACGATATAGTCCGTAAAGACATCTCGTTTTTCTCCACCATCAAGTGGAACTACATCATTCTGGATGAAGGCCACATCATTAAAAATGGTGAGTTCGATTTTCTGAATTGATATTGTTATATTAGTCTACTAGGTCGTCGAGACTAGATAGTGCCTAGAGAGATGACGTTATGGTTTCTTTTGACTATTGTTATTTTATCAAGAATTCTCAACCTCAAAATTTTATGAGGATATTCAAGAAATATTATTTTATTTGAAATTATTGAAAATGAATGCAGTTATTTCACAGACTATGAATATAATCCTGAAAAATATTGGTTTGATTGCTTCACTTAGTCTTTTGGCACCTATTTCATTTGACAAGTGACAAAAATGGAATATTTCATAAAATACATATTTCATTTTTATATATTGAATGAATGAAGATAATTTACGGAATAAAAATATTCAGCAATGATAGAGTCCGGTAGGAAGCTAACTCTGCATTCTGGATGTCATCGCATTGTCTCCATAGACAGGTCTGGCTTCAAGAACATGACTCCTCCCTTCTTAAGATGAAGACTGGGGGTGGTTTGGTTGGTGGCTGGGTTCGAGATGAACGACAATATTGACATACATTGAATGGATAGCAATTTTTATAGTAACATGCTACTCCATAGGAAATTATGATGCACACAAATATGCAAATGAGGATAATTATCCATACAGGTAAGGAGTCAGAAATACTGTTCTGCTCGTGGGAAAGCTGGAATAGATGTCCTCTGATTCGTTTCTCTGTTAGGATATTCTGATTTTGCACCCTGTATCTCCTACTTGGATTACTGTCCTCACTTGCAGCAACTAAAGTCTTTGGAAATTCACTGAAGATTAGTTGAAACACTATTGGATCTTCCTACTTGCATTTTCTCCACACTATGTTAACTCGTCTTCGTCTCTCTTGAATCTTAGTTTTCCAAAATCCTACCGACCGCGCCAGTGACGTTTGTGCCCCTAGCAGTTGTGGTTCATAGAAGCACCTTCGTAGATTTTGAAACCAATTTTGTATTGAATACCTCTTTTTCAACATTCACTCTACACACAATAAAATATTGTCTTTCCTCGATGCGTGTTTTTAATGAAGTTGAAAATGCAGGCTACAAGTGACAAATATCGAATGTTTTATGAAATACATATTTCATTTTTATATAATGATTTAGAAGATAACTTATGGTATAAAAATATTCCTCAAAGATAAAGTCCGGTAGGAAGCTGACTCTGCATTCTAGATGTCATCACATTGTCTCCATAGACAGGTCCGGCTTAAGGAACATGAGTAATTATTGACTTGACGCGAACCAATCAGCGAGTGTCTTGTGAACAGCATGACGCCAACTCGGGAGTAAAGGGGATGAACCATCCTGTTGAGTTAACAATCCTTGATATGGCACAATGGAATCAACTGATGGTTGGGTAGTTTAGGTTTAAACGTGAGTGGGCCTTGGCCAGGCCCTCCACTGCGGCCAATGGCCTATTGTGGCTCATCCTATGGTTATATTTCTCCCAGTATATCTAATCTCTTGGCGAAATAAAGGAGTACGTTGGAAGAACAATTTATCAGGTTTTCTGGCCCTACTGTTGTATTGCCAAATGTTGAAAATCTGATTTTGGCCGCTGCAGGGCATGTACATAAAATGTGTTTAGCCGTTTCATCCTCCTTCATGCATAAACGGGACTCTGCATCTTGTACAAGTCTGATTTTGTGCATGTGGTGTTTGAATTTTCAGTGGGACTAGCACTACTATAACTCAGTAGAGTTTGTCAGAGCCCTGTTTGTTTCTTGTACAATCAATAAATGCTTTGGAATGGGCTAGGTCCGGTAGACTACGCCAATACTCGAGTTTTTGTTGTCGGCCAAGGATGTTATAACATTCTTGGCAGTGCTATGTGCTATACCGATTACCGGTTCTGGCCCAGTGAACGATGTTTTGATCCCCTCTTTTGCTAGGACGTCCGCTATTTCATTCTCTTCTAGGCCCGTGTGACCTGGTATCCAGACTGGGTAGAGTTGAGAAAACATTTTGCGAAGCCATAGATATTGAATGATCTAATTTAGTATTTAAATTTCAAGTCAGTAATGGAGAATGCTGGATGAAAACCTAATTTCACGTTTCAGTCGAACGTAAATTGATGTATTCGAATTTTTGTATTTGTATTTGTTGCAATCAGAACAATGATTTTCTTCTATATTTAAAATTTACTGATTCATATTTTCAAAAATAAAAAGGACATTTAGTTTAAAAAACATATCTATGACATAAGAAATAAAAATAACATAACATTGAAATATAAAACAAACAAGTCATTTGTACGTAGAAATTTTAAATTTTTAATTCCTTACCTATATAATAAAATTCCAAATGATATTCTAAAAACAAAATCACTACAATCCTATAAAATAAAAATAAAAAACTGGATATTAAACTCCCCTAAAAATTATTTTATTTCTTTAATTAACATTTAATAATATCATTAGATAAATTTCAATAATAATTGTGAATAAGTATGTATGAATATAAATAATTATGCGTATTGAATGAAATGCTCCGTACACTATATATTATGAATTGAATACTTGTCTCATTTCTTAATGAGACAATTTTCAATTGTGATAACTTGATATTGTTAAATATTTATTGACCTATGTACATTTATTTATTTTTTATCCTTACTACAAGGTTAACTTCGTAAGGTTTTTCCCAGTTTATTCAAATTACCTTTATGTTTATTCCAATGTATATTTTGTAAACGTTTTTGAATAAACTTATATTATTATTATTATTATTCGTTGAATTTGTTTTCATAGCATGTTTCCTTAGGTAAAACGAGAACAAGTATTGCCATTAAGGCTCTGGTAGCCAATCACAGACTGATCCTCAGCGGAACGCCGATACAGAACAATGTGTTGGAGTTGTGGAGTTTGTTCGACTTTCTGATGCCCGGTTTTCTCGGCACTGAAAAGCAATTCACAGCGCGATATTCCAGACCCATCTTGGCCAGCAGGGATCCGAAATGTTCCCCTAAAGATCAAGAAGCAGGAGTTTTGGCCATGGAGGGTTTACATAGGTATGAAACATTCTCATTGTGTGCTCTGGTTCTTTTTGCTGGCTTTTCACTCGATTATTCTAGCGGATGGGCCTTTCCAGTATCGCCAAGTTTAGTGGTAGGCGAGGTATACACATGTGGCAAGAATAATTTCGCTATAGAATGTAAAAAAGCGAGGTTGTCATACGCTTCGTATCGCGCTAACCCCTCTTTCGAGCGAGTCCATTTTTCGGCCGGACTGAAGGGATTATCATTCGCCACACATGCTATATTCGAGTGGGTGGGGTGTAGTGCGATTCGTTTGTTTACTTTATTACGAAACTATAAAGGTAAATTGACGGGTAGCAATACAGCTTGATCAGCGTGGATATACTCATATTATAATATTGCATGCCAGTAACTAGGACACGATCATGCCACTTCTATTCGAACCATGTAAGATGCAGTACATTGAATATACGTGTATGTATTCCGGAATAGACCTTTTATTCCTGTACACCATATGACCCATCACAGGGGCCATGAATCAATGTATATGTATATTCATTCACACGGTTTCCATAGTAAAATTATTCTTGCCAGGCGTGAATAATATTGTCTGTTCAGCGACACAAAATATGTCATGAAGATAACTTTGAGTATCATTTAGAAGTTAGTGCTTTACTCATTCATTCGCGGTAGAATGAAGGCCCAATACATTGCACCCATAACTAGATGTTGCGGCAAAATAACTAGTGTTGGTACGGGGGCTTCCAAATCCCCATACGGGCATAGGAACGATCGAAATTTAAAAATAATAATAATAATGGATTATAACATTCTGATAAGATCTTCATTTTAAAGGTTAACCTCGTACATTGCACCAACTAATCTATACTGCCAGTTCTATAAGGAAAAAGGTTATATCATTCATTGCAACTTGAAAAACGTGAAAAATTTTATTGTCCACTTACTTGTTTATTTGAACTCTTCAATTATCTCCCTTTGAGGTGATAAAAAGTCTATATAGCTGAGAAAAATTGTGATGCGGCCTTACCACAGTAAAACGCTTCTAACATTTTTTTTTTCGTTTTACTTAGTTTGTTTTCAGCTATCTTTTCTTGAAGACGAAGCGATTTATATCCTAAAATTTTTGACATTATTGAACAAACACTATACTTTTTCTAAAATTGACTGGAAAGGCCCAAAATATGATTCGTACAGGCTTGGCATTTCCTCAAATTCGATATTCTCAGACAAGTGTTGCCATTCTTGCTGAGGAGGATGAAAGAAGATGTATTGGACGATTTGCCGCCTAAAATCACGCAAGATTACTATTGTGATCTCAGTTCACTGCAGGAGCAACTCTATGAAGATTTCTCCAAATCACAAGCACATCAAACATTACAGGTAAGCAAACAATACTCACAGCAATACAGGAGATGAAAAGGTGTCCCTTCTTCGCAGGAATCGATATCTTCTGGAAGTACCAAAGGTTCGATCCAAGGAAGCACTCACATATTCCAAGCTTTGCGTTATTTACAAAATGTCTGCAACCATCCGAAACTGGTGTTGAATCCGAGCCATCCGCACTATCAGCAGATCATCGGGCAGCTACATCAGCAAAATATTCCTCTGGACGATATCAACCATTCAGCGAAACTGCCAGCGTTGAAGTAAGATCATTATCCATAAAATTGACCCTTGATTCGTGGGGACAAGAGTTGGAACAGTTCTATTATGTTTCCAATTTGAAATGCAAACATTCTGATTCAATAAATTCAACAACATATCTTTATCGACATACGGGAAAAAAATTATGTACACGATTACCCCTTTACTCAATTGTAATTCAGAAAGTATCGACAGTGATTCAGAAACTGAAAGCCATTCTTATGGTTCGTCATAGCCCGCTCTAAAGCCGCGCTGAGGCAGTTCGGCAACACTGTCCAGAAGGTCTTATGCCGGCCATTCGCACATATACGATATTTGGCTTGAAAATGTTATGGAGTGAATTTGTTTGGTTTCCAAGTGTGAATTGATGTGTTATCAATGTGAAATATTGTTGAAAGCCAGTGAAAAGTGTAAGGAATATCCTGGTGATCCATGAACATTAATTTTTATCAGTTAGGTTGTTTATTTTTATTCATTTCAGTTATTGCATTACATCCTCTTCTTCATTGATACATTTTATACAAATAATATATAAAGTACAATTAATTTTCTAGTAGGAATGACATGAATGATCAGACAGTAATTCCTAGTATAAGATCATTCATGAAGTATTATCGACTGTTGTATAATTGAAATTACAAATAGTGAACAAAATTACATCATTTTGGTATCTCAAAATAACAGTCATAATATAGTGAACAAGAAGGGGAAAAATAAAAACAGTGAAAAAAAAAGGAAAATCATAATCTTTCAGCTTTGATCATTCCTTTGCATATAAATATATTTCTTCACTTCATTTTTGAATTGCATAATATTTGGGCTGTTTTTGATATCATCTGGTAATTTATTGAATTTCGAAATCGCCTTATGTGTAAACTTTTTTTGCCCAAGTTTAGAATTTGCAGCTTCAAGATGAAACAAGTTATATTGTCTAGTGTGATGATCATGAATTTCGGAATTCCTGATTAATATAAAATTTGATTTAAGCTTTTTGTTGATGATATAATAGTAAATTTTGAGAGTATTGATTAAAAAGTGCTCAGGCATATGTATCGAAAATAAATTCCCAATTTGTAGTATTGGATGAGATGCAGGTCCAAGTTTCACTAGGTGATAATAAGTTGAGATTCAATGATTTGAAATGGATTCTTCCTTGCCAAGATGAGATCTTGCCTCGCAATTCGTGAACTTGAATGGTCCATGTGAAATGAAACTTGCCAGTTGTTCATTTTATTTTATTTTTTTGCGTGAGAGAGAGGAGGGGAAATCTTACATAAGACACCCTGTAGGGTAGTGTCGGATTCTTACCGACTAAAACCCCTCCTCTCTCGCCTTGCACTTCACACTGGTATCCGCTCGCGCATTACTTCAGGTGTGAAGGCTGTACTTTCCATTTCCTTGTTCCCAATTATTTGTCGTACAGTTTTATATGCTTGTTTCCATGTTTCCTCTGCCGTTACTAGGCTCTCCATCATATTCAACAGATTAAATTCTCTATTCATTTTATCTAAGAAGCTCAATAAAACCTGAGCTGTGATCTGCCCTATTATTCCTTGCTATTTTTTTCATTGAAGTTCAATTGTTTCAAGAGAGGAAGATGCGGTGTTGCATTTATCTCATCATGGCTTGTTATAGAGCCGGCTGTGGTTTTGTCATAGAAACTTCCCCGTTTGAGATCATATTCTCCAATGTGCCCTTGTGTGTCTATTCTCTCGGAATCTGCTCGAGTCCATTTATCTGCAAGTTGCTGAACTAGTTAGGAATATCCTTTCTGAAACATAAAAATCAGTTAAAATTCTAAAAGCTTTTGATAACACTATTCTATCTTGATTCTAATTCTTCCCTGATGCGGCATTCCTTTTGAATATATTCTGCATTACCGATCTCTACCCTTTGCTACTCAACACAATGTACTTCACATTGTCGCTCTCATACCGCCTCCTACTACAATGAATCTTCGGGTTCCACACAAGTTGAAGTTCCCGAGTGTTGTTAATCAAAAATTTGTGTTTCTTGTGCAGAATACTGACCAAGTTAAAGATACAGTTGTTGGAGGTGATTGTTCTAGGAGTGCACAACACACCACCATCGACCATGCTGCAGCTTGAGTATTTCATTATAATGTTAATGTTCACTACAAAAGGAATGTGTAGTGTTCAGTACGGTTCGTTATAATAGACGTGGGACGTGACAAATGATATGGACAAGACAAGTGACAGTTGACAATTACCTTGGCGGGTAAAGGGTCGAGGAGGATGAGTAGGGGGAGAGAGAGCCCTCCATTATTTTTACGATTTGTTATGTACTTTTATTTTGGTTTTTGTCAAGTCAGTTAATCAGTAGTTTATGAATCGATCAAGACCATACCCTCCTAGAGCCAAATGATTCATTATTTGTATCATTCCTTACCTCAATTCAAGACCTTGGTAGTTTCTGAATTACAAGTAATACTTTTTGGATTATTACAATCAAGAGAAATGAAAATTCCACCTCTTCGATTACCATATCGAATTTTCACGATGACCCATTATTTTTCAGGCAACTTCTCCAAGATTGTGGAATAGGTGTGAACGACACTTCAGATAGAGAATCGACTGACTTAGTAATAAATCAACATAGAGCGCTGGTGTTCTGCCAGCTGAAGGCGATGTTGGACATTATCGAAGAAGATCTGTTCAAGAAAAATATGCCGAGTGTCACTTATCTTAGGTTAGATGGTTCCGTGCCACCGGTGCATAGACATTCGGTTGTAACTAGGTGAGTAACTGAATCCAGTATTTCAATCTCTCCCTTTGTGCGATTGGTTTGCCAACTTTGACGATCATAATTTTTTATCAGAATTGAAAGTTATTATTAGGAGCAAAGGTGTTCATGATAGGCTCCTCTCATTTATTTCACCAATTACTTGTTCATCAAAAATAAGGTAATGAGGACGGTTTTCGCTTGTTTTTTAACCCTCTCGCTTATGAATTATTAATAGCTTCAGTGATAAAAATCTGAGAATTTTTTATTCCGATTTTCTGACTCTTCCGAAATTTAATTAATTCAAATTCGGGACAAGGGGCAAGGTGAGCCATTGTAATGAGAATTCTCTGAATTCTGTCATATGGAATATCATGTAATCACATTATAGACTCTCAACAACAAGAGAACTTGTAAGAGGTCTTCTGGTTATTCATCACACACTATAAGAAAACTGAATTAAAATAAGGGTTATGTGCACCTTCATCGTCTGTGCCGTTGATTCACGAAGTCGAAAAACAGTACAACATGCTAATATTAAGGTGGGTCTGCATGGTTGTCCTGGTGTGTGAGTAAGAAGGCGCAAAGTGGAACGGAATCTTGGTCGATTATTACTGACACCGTGAACATAAATTAAAAGTGAGCAGTAAAATGAGTTCTCAAGATGCAATCAACGATCCTCCATTTAATGTATTCTCGACCCTTATTCAATTCCGTCATCAGTTTTATTGAAATTATACAAACACACAGCTACGCAAACAAGTGAAACGGTTAATTGCGTTGGATAATGAGTCGTTGGAGCTAGCTACTAGCTAGCTTTTCCATTCGATCGACTATGAACTAACCAATTACCCTTATATGGATCAGCCTGCATTGCCACAAACTGAAGGCTGGGGTTCTCTCGAGGGTTCCCTTAAGTTTTGCTCTAGATACATCAGAAAGTGAACTTCAAATGATAAATAAGACTCGAAAGGTTTTCAACGATACATATACACACATTTTTTATTCTATGTATGACGATAATTAGACACTTATGCTTGTATGTGTATGTAGAATTAAACTAATATCTTTGAGAGCATGGAGGAAGGGCATCTTCTGTTCTGCCTTAACTCTGAAGGTTCGGACACAGTGGCTACGAATAATGTCCATCCAGGACCGACGCCGTCATATTCGTCGAGCACGACTGGAACCAGTGCTGCCGCTCGCAATTTTTGCTGCGTACTGAAATTTTCATAGAAAAGGTACTGAAACGTGCCGAAAGAAGGCAACAAATGAAATACATAGAAAACACCGAAAAAGCGATGATGACTTGCCTAACTTTCAATCTATGCCAGCAGTTATGAATGTTTTCTCCCAGTTTTAACGTCATCGCCACGTTATATGATGATCTTGAAAACCGCGAATAAACATCTCGTTGTATGGTTGCCATGATTACCTTGGTCAAAAACTGACGAAACATAAGGTTCTTGTTCATAGAAAATGCGTAAGAGGCGCTGATATCGTTATATTTCTAATGGCCATCTAATGTCAAACAGTCTGAGCTTTTTCCGCGAAAAGTTAGTGTGGTTTGACACCAACTTCCTGGCTTCATGACCTTGACATCACGCACTTTCTGACAAAACGGCCAATGAGATGAGAATACGCTGTGAGTCAAAAAGCGAAAAGCCAGCATGTGAACACGCCATCACACATCACACACAGCCCGTCAACAGTAGAAAATAAAGCCACTGTCACTACTGTCAGACATTCACCCACTGTAGCAAACAGTTGTTGTGCTATCATCCTGTTCTATTGTCTCAATCTATGCAATGATGTCTTCAGGACAGGAAAGTTACTGAATATCATGAGTTTTAGAAATAGTCGTGCTGATGTACCGAAAGTATCCAAATGGTACCGAATTCAGTACAAGAGTGAAACGGCAGCACTAACTGGAACCCGATGTAAACAATTCATGATTTAAACTTGGTTTTCTGAATTTGAACAAATTAGTCCCCTTATTTGTAACAGTAAATGATGTGGGATGATGGGGAAAATTGAATAACAAAATAAAAATTGAGTGATCGTTCCCGTGCAGGTTTAACAACGATCCGTCCATTGACGTCCTGCTGCTGACGACACAGGTCGGCGGCCATATTCGTCGAGCACGACTGGAACCCGATGAAAAAAATATCCCCTCATATAATAGTATATAGTATTATAAGATTCTATATGGAGGCATCGTAGATAGACACAATTTCAACACTCAAACACATTTTTATTCACTCAGGATGCCTTGTACAAAGATGATCGTTTATAAAAATACAACATCGATAAGTGATTCGTTCTGATGCTACGATGCTAATGACTAAACCTGCTTCAATCTTCGATCACACGATGATTACGAATACCGATGAGTCGTCGAGGCCGCTTGTTATAAGGCATTCCTTAGGCGTTTTTCTCAATTACGGAGTGATTTGTAGATGTGGAATGACGAGGTAAATTGCAAAACAAATTGAGTGATCGTTCCCTTGCAGGTTTAACAACGATCCGTCCATCGACGTCCTGCTGCTGACGACGCAGGTCGGCGGCCTCGGTCTCAACCTGACCGGCGCCGACACCGTCATATTCGTCGAGCACGACTGGAACCCGATGAAGGACCTGCAAGCGATGGACAGGGCGCACAGGATCGGGCAGCGGAAGGTCGTCAACGTCTACAGGTTAATCACCAGGGCGACGCTCGAAGAGAAAATCATGGGGTGAGTGGACGAGAAAATTGACTGTTCAATTACGCAAATAAATAGAAACCGGAAGGTTACGGCTAATGGGTTAGTGCATATATCTAGAGTTCCTAAATGTACTTGACACTGCAGTTTTGACGTTCTTTGTATTTTAGAGTACGGACACTATACCTTTTCAACTTCAATTTCGGAATTGGTAAGTTATATTTCGGAAAAAGTAATCTCGATTTCAGAATTGGTTAGTTCGATTTCAGAAATGGTAAACTCAATTTCAGAATCGGTGAGATGAATTTCAGAGAAAGTCCATTCAATTTCAGAAATGGTAAGTTGTATTTCAGAATTGGTAGGTTCAATTTCAGAAAATAAATCCTTATATTTGTTTGAAATGTTTCCAATTGCATGAGAGATTAACAAACCATATTTACAATATTCAACTTCTCAAAAACAATTCAATAACATAATTATAATCCCAATTTAATCGACAGATGTCTTCCATCCGAATCGCAGAAGGATAGTATATAGCGTTGCACATGATTATAAGAATGCAAACACATTTGAGGTGTTATCATTTTCATTGAATGATCTGCACATTCTTCAAGACATCGCAGTCTGAATTTTATCTGGTTGAGCAATCTGTTCGAATCCCCAGCTATGACCCTTTGGCGATGCTCTTGCAAAAAGCTCTTTACTTCTGACTTGAAGGCACTCCACATATGTTCAATCAGATTTAACATAGGGCTGTAAGGTGCCAATCTGTAAAATATAACATCTTGAAATTCTTCCTCCATGCATATCTCTTCTATTCTTGAATGTGCAGGTGCATTATCCAGAACTACCACTGCAGGATGCCCATTTCAAACGCACACTCTCAAACACCGTTCCATCCACTGTAAACAATCCTCTCTTTTGCAATTGAAAACATTTCAAACATATATAGGGATTCATCTTCTGAAATTGAACCTACCAATTCTGAAATACAACTTACCATTTCTGAAATTGAATGGACTTTTTCTGAAATTCATCTCACCGATTCTGAAATTGAGTTCACCATTTCTGAAATCGAACTAACCAATTCTGAAATCGAGATTACTTTTTCCGAAATATAACTCACCGATTCCGAAATTGAAGTTGAAAAGGTATAGACAAGCAGTGACAATCAAACATAACCACAAACGATTTTGAAGCAAATCATATGTTTTGCCAGACAAGGACAAGAATATGTTTTTCGCTGAGATAAAGGATCCTCGCATCTTCCATCCTTCTCAAGTCCTGGGAAGAGTACATCCATATATCTTTCTCTGTATTTGATTTTTGTATGAGAGTGCATAGCGTCTCCGCGAGTGGATAAAAGGGTATGATAAAGTGATTAGAAAATTATTTATGCCGAATATTGAATGATAAGGCTGAAGGACCTCAATGGAGGCCGATATCAAGTTGGTATGTACCTGGTCAACTACTAAGAATGGCTGTCGGCCATGTTTCAGCAACGAATAATGATGCAACTGTGAGATAGAATAAATCTAATGGTATGCATATCATTACATGATGTAATTTTGTTTGTTTTTGTTTTGTTTGTTTGTTCTAAAATTTGTTCTATCCGTCATTCGGTTGCCCCCTTACGAGCAACCCTCAAAAGTCTTCGAAAGTCTTGTGCGAGCAAGGAATGACGGGGGCCTTACCTTTTAACGTGTGATCCCAAACACTTTCTTGGGCCATCAGAAAAATTTCTGCAGTCGACGGGGATCGAACCCACGACCGGCAAGCGAATGCGAATCAGAATATAGACACTCTGTCCGCACGGCTACCTGACCACATCAAATTTAAATAATAAATAATGATTTAGCAATAACAAAAAAATTTTTTTTTCGCCTTCATGATGCATTGAAGTATTTCCACATGCACTTTGTTGTATTCTTTTGACTGAAGATGGCCATTTGAATGGCCGAAACATGTATCAACCTTAATGAAGCAGGATTCACTGCCAGATTATACATTAAATATTGTGGAGACGACTTTGGGTTTTTTCTCTATTGATCATTCCACTCCACTTTGAGCATGGACTACTACAGAAGAGAAACTAAATCTCAACAGACCAACGAAAACTGCAACATGATAGCTTTTCGCTTTCACCTCGTACATATATATCAACGAAATACATATACCATTCCTATGAAATAAGTCACTTATGTATACGTTCAGTTGAATATTTTTTTTGTCACAAATAATCAGAATGGGGTAAAACTGATAAATTTCAACCAATGAAACATACTTATTTCGTATGGAACAATTTCACTTGTACAAGAGTGGTAGGTAATAAGTTAGTAATAAATGAACAAATGATATGGCAACAATAACAGCTGATTTCAGTTAGGATGAATAATAAAGGTTCTCCAAGACATACCGAAGTAGGTATAAATAAATGAACTGCAGCGCTCGACTGACTATAGATCGCCGTTCACATTGCTAAAGGGGTTGTTGGTTCGAACCCGGCCACCGGAAGATCATTCCCAAGTCTTTTTCTTTCGAAATATCTTTTTTTTTTTTTATTATTTTTTTTTTCATCGCTTCGAGCGCACGACAGTTTCAGTTTATTAATTGTGGGTTCGGCTATTTCTCTCAATACGATCCTATTCTTCAATATCAAATCTTCCGTTCTGAAGTGTACCTGTTGAAAATGCGTTGAAAAATGCTCTATATCCTACCAAAAAATTTGAGTACCTCGCAAATTTTGTGGCCTGAACCTACATTCCGTGCCGGCCGCATCATATTCTGTTTCTATTGTTATAGAATTACGTTATCCCATGGAAAATCGAATAGAGTGAATTGATTTCCCATGTTCTCACAGTTGGAAACTGCACAAACTTGCATCTTTCTCCTACTCCTCTCAATTTGTCAAACCTTTGATATTTATGTCATGTACGTCCGTGTACTGCCAGTTCCCGCTTTTTCCATCAATTTATTTGTGGTTATGTCTAATTGTCAATGCTTGTCATAGTGTCCTTACTCTGATAAACAAAAACGTGAAAACAGCAGTGTCAAGTGAATTCAGGAACTCTACATATATCTACTATTTCTATATATGTATAGCACATCGCCTATACGATATCTCAACAAAAATGGGACCAAAATGAGAACAACTTTTTGAATCTATAAGGACGGAAAGTGGAGGATGAAAACAGCCATATTGGTTTGACAAGTTTCGTATTATTTTTGCCCTACGTCGGCATCTACGCCTATTGGCCGATTTCGTTACCTAAAATTATTGAAAAAATATTCTATCAATGTAGAAATTCATTGGTTCATCAAGTTCATCAAGTTTTTTCCGCAATTTTCAGATATCGAATTAGATCTACAAATATTTAATATACAGGGTGTTGTTTGTTGAATATTATGAATGTTTGGTTTGTCCTGAAGACGGACCTGGATTCTGATTTCCATTTCCAATTAGTTCCATTGTGTAACATGAGTGGAATATCCCTATCAAGTATGAATGGATTATACAAAGTGATTCAAAAGTTATGACCACATAAGATTTTGCCAAAATCAAGATAACATCCTGTATCTCACTTATAAAAGACAGTAGACACATTAATATGGGGTGATTTGGAACCACCTCCATCTACAGGTATCGTATGTACATTTAAATCTGAAATACCCTGTATATATATTTTTATAAATCATGGGAGCAGAGGTTAATTTTCCCCCACTCCACACGCGGGAGGAAAAGGATACCTTTCCTCCCTTGGTATATAAATAGCTATTATTACATCTCATAGAGCGTGAAAAGTTTAGTATCTGTGAGCAATTTTGTTGATTTATCTCGAACTGTTCCGAACTTTACATCAAAAAACAATATTCAGACTCAAATTTCCAACACCCTATATCTCGAAAACGACGAATTCAAAAGTATATCTCTATATCAACTTTTTTCATTATTACAATGAGTACAACACACTGTTGAATTTGTTGTATTACAAACCGGACCACCGTGTATTGACATTCTAATTTTCATTCGAAGGCTACAAAAGTTCAAGATGCAAACGGCGAACACCGTGATAAGCTCCGAAAACAGTAATCTCGAGACGATGGGCACCGACCAATTGTTGGATCTGTTTTCGCACAAAAGTACAGGCGGAAGGGAGGGCTCGTCGGACCCAAAATCGAATACGGGAGTGAAATCTATCTTGGAATCCTTGCCGGAACTGTGGGATACCAAACAGTACGACAGCGAGTACGACTTATCGCAGTTCATGACAAAATTGAAGTAATAAGGTGAGTCATCGTACTGATAAAACACAATTGAATCAGTTATTTTGCGGGTAAGCTGTGAGAAAACGATGGTATATTTAATTTCATAATAGAAAATAAACAATTATTATTTTTTCCACCACTAGCTATGGAACCTAACATTATTTGATCCTTTTGAAGGCGTAAAGTGTTTTTACGCCGGCGGGAGTAGAAGTTAGTTTCTCTGGTAAAAAAAGAGGGACAGTAGTCTCGTATTATTCCCTAGAGAGATAATTTGACATATTTTCTCCCTAGGAAGTTTATACCAACTTCACATTTTTCCTAATAGCTCTGTGCTTCCTCTTCGGAACAGCCTTCTCTGAAGCGAGTATAAGCTGCATCATACAGATTTATAGATCTCACTGGTAGCAGTAGTAGTAGTAGTATTGTGGGGAGGCTGTAGCCAGGCAAGTAGGCCCCCATGGGGCTATAGTATACAGTGGAATATTTGAAAATTCCATAATGAACAAAAACAAAAAAGAAAATCAGATTTTTCCCAACCTGTACCGATGTCATCTTAAGCTATTCTTTTCTGAAGAGAATGAGTACTCGAACATCGAAATCGAACAAATAGTCCAGTAGATACACTCATTTTCTTGCAATTTGTTATGGAGTGAATGTACTTATCTCGTATAAACGATTATTATTACCTTGCCTCAGACTTCATGAAAATTCAATCGAATTCGGATTTCTAAGAGTTATTTCAAAGATAAAGACCTGTAGTACACAATAATGGAACAAAATGGTGGAGAATCCAGAATTTTTGTGATTTTCAAAAATCTCTGGAGAATAAAAGAATGTTTATTCTTCCAATCAGGACCGATACAATTTTGTAAGAATGAGCACTCGAACATCTGAATCGAACAATAAGTCCAGGAGAAACACGTTCTTTTTGGCAAACTGGTATGGAGTGAATGTGCCAATCCCGTGATATGAATTACATTTAGTTTGCTTCTGGATTTATCTGAATTCGATCGAATTTGGATTTCACTCCATAACACTTTGCCAAAAAGAACGTGTTTCTCCTGGACTAATTGTTCGATTCAGATGTTCGAGTGCTCATTCTTTTCAGAAATCAATGATCGAAAATTGTATCGGTCCTGATTGGAAGAATAAACATTTTTTTATTCGCCAGAGATTTTTGAAAATCACAAAAATTCTGGATTCTCCACCATTTTGTTTCTTTCAATTATTGGATTTTCAAATGTTCCATTATGCACTACATTTCTTTATCTTTGAAATAACTCTAAGAGATCCAAATTCGATTGAATTTTCATGAAGCCTGAAGCAAAATGATATTAATCGTTTATACGAGATTAGCACATTCACTCCATAACAAATTGCAAAGAAATGAGTGTATCTACTGGACTATTTGTTCGATTTCGATGTTCGAGTACTCATTCTATTCAGAAATGAATAGCCTAAGATGACATCGGTACAGGTTGGATAAAATATGATTTTCTTTTTCTCCAGCGGTTTTTGTAAATGACAATACTTTGGTAGAATCCGCCATTTTGTTTTTGTTCATTATGAAATTTTCAAATATTCCACTGAATACTATAGCCCTTTAGCTATGAAACGACGCCAAGAAATTCGAATTTGGTTGAGAAATGATGAAACCACGAGGAAAATAAAAACTTCCGGTTTTCTTGTGACCACCCGATATAGTAGGTATTTATCAATAACGACTTGTCATATGCTGTCATGGTGAATAGATGTTAATTAGAATTATTGAAAAGAAGTGCTTTCATAGTGACATAGGTCCACATTTCAGTTTCATAGAACTGTAATGATTGAAATATATTGCTAGTGGTGAAAAAAATGTAATATACACCTTGGTAGCAAAGAATATGGGAGCTTATACACCTCGGCTGAAGCCTTACTACCTTGGTGTATAAATAAATATTTCAATTTGTGTAAAAACAAGAGGTCATTTGTTTTTCCTTCAGTAAATGCACTTCAATATTATTATGAATAAGCTGATTTGTTGTTCAGATACACCAACACATTCCAAAACAAATGAAAGAAGCAAAAAAATAAAAGAGGAAAAGTACAATAATTTGAATCTTGAGTTATGATATTTGATGTTTCGATTTTTCAGTATAGGTGTATCCATGTACACACCATAAATGTCCCCCCCTCCAGCTCAGTTATTTTTGAACCGATTTTAAAATTTGAAAATATCCCAAATGATTCTCGATAAAGTTTTTTTCTGCTACATCAGAAGATACAGGGTGCTCGGAACAAACGATCTACAGGGTACTATTTGATTTATTTAAATGGAACACCCTATTTTTCATTGTATCTTTAGATTCTCCCTGAAGAGCTGATTTGATCGATGTATCACACTTGGGGTCTAGCGGGAATGATTACAAAGATATAGGGTGTTCAAGATCGAGATTTTTCAACTTTGGGATTTTTTTGTGACGAAACTATTCATTATCAGTCAAAACGTCTCCCATGTCCATGCCTCAACTTTTGATTCACTATCTACTGACATTTCATGATTGGAACATATACAGGGTGATCGGAATTCTGAATGTTGAACCACCCTTTAAATGTTCCAATTAAATGTCAGTAGATGGTAAATCAAAAGTTGAGATAGGGACATAAAAGCCGTTTTGACCAATGATGAATAGTTTCGACATAAAAGAATCCTGAAGTTAAAAATTCTCGATTTTTGAACATCCTATATCTCTGTAATCAATCTCGCTAGACCCCAAGTGTGATGTATTGATGAAATCAGCTCTTCAGGAAGAATCTAAAAAGACAATGGAATACAGGGTGTTCCATTTGAAAAAATCAAGTAGTATTCTGTAGATCGTTTGTTCCGAGCACCCTGTATTTTCTGATGCAACGGGAAAAAATTTCTGAAAAATCATTTCAGATTATTTTCCAAATTTTTAAATCGGTTCAAAAATAAGTGATCTAGAGGGGGGGACATTTATGGTGAATCACCCTGTACATGGATTCCAGTCATTTATCGCGATTTTATCGGTGCTTGATCCCTAGTTCAATTCATACCTGTCCCAAATCAGGTGAATTAAAATATATAACCCACCAATAATTATCACATTTGAGTTCATAAATAATAATACAACACGAGAAATTGAACTAGCTCAAACTTCAAACGCAGTTTCCTAAATAACATTCAATTTTGAGTTGTGCCAATTCAATGTAACTATTTGAATTAATTATTAAAATAGATTTTTTGTTTTACAGGCTTTTTAGTATCTGAGATGAGCAATAACTATGTAGTTGGTAGTTACTGTATGTGTGAAAGACTGCTGAACCAAAGAATTATTTATTTGAATATTTATCTTTCACATTTTTTCATCAACCATTAGGGGCACATTATATTATTATCTTCAATTTCATGAAAACATTTTTTGGAGAATTGTTTCAGTATCATGAAAATTATCATGTTCACCTGTTAACTAAATAATATATCATTTGAAAGTTTTTTTTTCAAAATTAATTATGTTTCATTTGATTGAGTAATCAGACTTTAGGTTATTACAATTTCATTTTAATTTTATATTCATTATGAATTAGGGTTTCATTATGGTTTAATTGACAAATATTCCGTCTGTTCAATGAAGAAATTTCACCACAATCACTATTTAATATTGAAATGTACCTACTACTACTATAACTAAAAAGCAATGTTTATGGTCGTGTCTCTGAAACGTCTTGGCTAAACGCAATGAGTAATTTCCGAGACTTTTCAAGCCACCAGAGGGCGTACAGTTTCTAATGTTTAGGCATATCTAGTGAATGATAGTAATTTGTAAAACTCGGTATTGATAGCGCTGTTTGGGACGGATATATCAGTTTTGAATTTTGTATTTATTTGCAGTGACGAGAATTTGTGGAATCAGTACCAAATACAAATACTAAGCCAATATACGGTCTGTGGGTTGATCGATGAGATGTAATATTCCTTTATCTATAAATGACAAAAACTATTGATAGTCGATAGAAGTGTATTGAAAAAATACGAAATTTTACTTATCTTTGGACGTTTCGTGAACGAATCTGCTCCTGTTTACAACATAAAAATGGAAAAGTATTTTTTTCGTTTTTTCTATTGACACTGACCTGAATCTGAATTTTTCTTATAGCTTTCTAATAGTAGTGGCAATTTGAGGCAAATCTACTGATTTGTCCTTACTAGAAGTATATTGGGATAATAATGATATCTTTATTTATAGAGATGAGAAAAGACAATCCTCAGAATTCAGATAAATGAATTGGCATCTTTGTTAATGCATGTCACATGATAAAAAAATAATAAAATTCAAATGGCTGTTGGAACTGTCGAAACATTTTCACATCTTTTCACTGTAAATTGTGATTTTCAATATATGCTACTCAATATCGAGAGAGACATAATCATTTTGTTCAAACACAAATCGAAGTTTATTGTCACTGAACTGATTGATGACTTGCACAGGATACCTGTTGTGACAGTATATAATATTCTTTTCAATTCACTCGGGGTTATTTTTTTTTCCTTTTGATCATTTTAAATTTGACATTATTTTGTCCCTATCAGTACTATAAAATGAAAACAGCATACATTACAAAAAAACTTGGAATATTTCCACTTTTACATTACACACATTACATTTTGTGCCGACCTTTCAGTATACATTTTAATGATTTGTTTATCGATGCCGAAACCATAAAATGCCCTGTCAATAAATAGATGAGAATTATTTGCGAGATAACTGAAGTACCATTTCTATTCACACCATCACACCTTAATATTTTGCACATATTTAGAACTGATGTTATTCATTATATTTTTCTGATAATAATAGCTGTTTGTGCAACTAGGGGTAAAATTTCATATTTATGTCCATATTCCCATGTTATGCCCACAAGATATCTGTCATTCAATGTAGAAAGGAATGTAATAAAGATTGTTTCATTTGAATTCATTTTCCCAATAGTGAGAAAATGTATTTGTGGATATTATGGAATATTTGTATTCTGGAAAGGCAATAAAATTGACACCATTATACTCCTGTTTTCATTTCTCTCCATATATTTGACATGCCTCGGTGAGTCTAGAGCAACTCAAAACTTATTCAACAAAATTAACTAAAAACAGATGAGCGTAAAAAATACAGAAAATACATGCCAAATTCCACTGGTGATGCTGATGGAGAGTAAACTTTTTAAACAAATCAACTCTCCAAATTAACTTTCTATGGATATAAACCAGATAAATATTTAAACCTCTGTCAAACGCTCAATGCAGCTGGACCAATGTTGCTTCCTCAAATATTTCCCAAACTATTTCTGGTACTGAAGAACACAAACCAATTATCACAATGAAAAAAAAAAAAATGCAAAAATCGACCCCAGATTACGCCACTTCAGGATAAACTATTTTTTTTGTTGGAAATATTACCCTATACCTGGTATCAATGAAATTTTTAGGCAAGCCATGGTTTCCACAGTTCCGATGGTATGAGATTAAAATTTGACAGGAGTGTAGGATTCGAGTAAACCGTAAACAACCCCAACTTCTGATGTTCAAATGGGACACCTTGTATTTTATTCCATAATCGGTTAGGGATTATCAAAAAGAATTTAACGATACCGGTTTTGATAGAGTTATTTGAAACGATCACGAAAATATTTGCGTTTGAAATTTCCATTTGCTCAATGAGAGTATATGGAAACTTCGAATCGTAATCGTTAGAAATAAACCTATCAAACTTGGTATCGTTGAATCGGTATGATAATCCCTAACTGAATATGGAATAAAATTCATGGTGTCCCATCAAGAGTTGGGGTCGTTTCCGGTAAAACCGGAACTGGAATGGAGCACAGAATCCATCGAATCACTGGGAAGGAATACCATTACTTGGTATACGGACGGGTCTAAAACACCCGAGGGAACTGGAGCAGGAGTCTTTGGGCCTCGCACCAAATACTTCGAATCCATGGGACAATTCCCCAGCATTTTTCAAGCGGAAATACACGCCATAGGAAGATGCATCCAGTTCAACCTAGACAGGAAATACCGGAAGAAGGACATTTTATCCGATAGCCAAGCAGCCATCAAAGCGTTGAGCTCTCCTTACATCAACTCGAAGATGGTATGGAAATGCCTAAGCAAATTGAATGAGCTAGGCAGCAACAATAAAGTTACCCTCCTCTGGGTGCCAGGGCATATCGGAGTGGAGGGGAATGAACAAGCAGACGCTCTGGCACGACAAGGGGCTTCAACGCCACTGATCGGACCAGAGAGACTCTGCGGCCTTGGAAATTCCTATTTCCAAGGAGAACTTGAGAAGGCGGAAGGAGCCTGGAGAGCCAGACAATGGAGAAGACTTCCAGGACTACGGCAGGCTAAAGATCTCCTTGGAAATTTCAACCGAGAAAGATCTGAGACACTGACAAACCTCAGCAAAGGAAGTCTCAAAGCAATAACGGGATTTCTAACGGGGCATTGCAGACTCAAAGAACACCTAAGGAAGCTAGGCTTACAGGAGAACGGCACCTGCAGATTCTGTGAGGAAGAACCAGAAACACCCCATCACATACTGATGGAGTGTGACGCTGTACATCACAAAAGATTGAACATACTGGGAACACACCAACTGACTGTGGAAGAAATACCACAACTAGACCCCCTCAAAATCCTCAAATTCCTGAAGGAATTGTATCTCGAGGGGCTGCTATGAACAAGAAATCCTTGATATAGCAGGAGCAGATGGGGCACAACTGATCTAATTGGGTCGCAGCGCATCTGTCACCATCCAACCTACCAATACCAAAACCGGAACTGATAAAAGAGTTTAAAAAATCGAAAAATTTCACACATCACCTTCAGATCTTTGGAAAACTACGGCTTGCCTGATGAATACGTTGACACCCGGTATGTGACATATTTGATACAAATATTCAATTATTGCAGTTGTTTCTATACATGAAAAGTTTAATTCTACTGGATATTAGAATAATTCCATTACTAATAAGGCGATCCTACCGACTGCGCCAATTAATAAAATAATTCCGATATCTAGTTCAATAATGCACTGTCATGTGATTGAATATTTGTTGTAGTCGATGTGGAGAGTCTCTCGCCAGTCATGAAACTAGTAGCATGATGATGTGTGCTTGCTGTAATAAACAAGCCAACACAATATTTCTTCGTTCTTCATGTAGTTTTTCGTTGCCGGCCGTGTGACTGACTGATCACAATAATAAATACGACTTGTGTACAAAAACCTTAAAAACCGTGAACATTACTAATCAATTGATAACATATCGAAAATTCCTCAAAAACGAGATATATCATGAATCATCTATTTTACGAGTCATTATATTCCTCAAAACAGATTTTTTTGTGAACTGTATACCAGAAATGATACACTCAAGTGAATCATCTAGTGATGTAATTTTATGTTTGTTGAAATATAAGCTGTTTGGGTCACTTAATTTAGAAGAATGTAAATGCCCTCGCCACTTTTTTTGAGTAATTTGATTGTTTAGGGGTTATACTTCATGAATGGCATCGACCATCAAAAAGCCCGGACGAAGTGGTCTTGGATCGGTCGGCCTTGGTCTTCGATAAAAAACGTAACCATTTGAAGTTCGGTCAATGCGGTCATCAATCGAAAACTCTAGTTGATACTTAGCTTCATTTAGGACGAGTTCGGTTAAAATAAATCTCCTTTTTCATGCTGAAACGATAATTTCCTTCGTCATAATATGGTTCGACTCGCCAAAGAAAACCGGAGACGAAAAAGAGGATGAAAACGTTCAGTACGCTGAGCTTAGAGAATCTCTTCTAGGGAGCGATTGGTATTTCGTTTCTAAATTCACTGTAGAGTTGATGATCGCAACATTTATATTGTGCTTTTGGCTCACATTCTTTCCTCCGGTCATCTTTTACGAGCCAGACTATACCTTATAACCTTCTGATAACCTCGAGATTTTCCGCAGCACAGCAGCATGCTACTATTTGCATGACTGGTGAGAGACATTTGTAACCGATGATGTTACATTTTTTATTTGTTGTCTTAAAGGGCGCCGTACATTATGCTATTTCTCGGCAAGTTTGAGGCAATGCAATTTTCTCGCAACTATCTCAATTTATTGCGAGTCGCCGTACATTGAGATATTTCTGTCATATTTTCTTGTTCATATTCACTATTTTCAGGTTTTTTGAGCCTTCAATGTACTTTTTGAGGTTATTTGGTGTTTCAGGCCACGTTATGGAGAAAATTTGTATTTTATCAAGATGCTATGATGAATATAACTAAAAATTTTAGTAAACTTGCTTGCCTTGAAATTGCAGGAAAAATAGGTTCTATTACGAAACTTGCATGAAACTTCCGTGAAATATCATAGACGCATGCGCATTGTTCGATTCAAAATTGCATTGCATCGAACTTGCTGGTGAATAGCATAATGTACGGCGCCCTTTACACAGATGATTGATAGTACCACTAATGTTTCGAATTCAAAAGTTGACCCCATCGTGAATATGATACTGAGTAGTGTGAGTATTCCTCATTTGAAGCCCGGTCACTCCATCAAAGTCGAAAATGAGCGGCTGGGAAATAGAACTCGCACTCAAAGTAGTCACAGTTTCTACAGTTTCTGATTTGGCGGTGCACAGAGCTGGTTGAATTAGCGCAGTTTGGATCAGAGTGGGTTGGATCATGGCAGGCTGGATTTGCGCGACGATTTTCTCCGCAATGTCCATTTGCCCCGGTTCCGTTATGTTGTTGAGGATGCTCATGAACTCAGTTTTCAACATTTCTCTTCTTCTCTCCAAGGGCAATTCTTTGATATCATCTTGGTGGTATTCCTCAGTGCAGTCAATGTATATATTGTCTTCGTCAACTGAAATAACGATATCTTTATGTTAGGACTCATTAATAGTTTATGGTAAACAGTCCGAAGATCAATGAACTAAACAGGTTTCTTCATAAATCATCGTGCCTGGGAGGGTATTACGATAGTTTCTTTTTTGGTAATTCATCACAAAAATACAGATGACCTAAAGGACCCCGCACTAAACTATAGGGAAAATGGCTCTCGATGATAATTTTTTTGGTATGTTGCAGACTTTGATATACTGAACAAATATTCCATCAAAAAATGGACAGTTTTTCCGATATAGACCTTCAAATGTCATTTAAAAAAAAAAGTATATGCAAATGGTTGAATTTTTGGCATGTTGTAGATAAGAATGAACTGATAAAAAAATCCAATTGATCTAACCTCCAAAAATTGACAGTTTTCTCGATATTGACCTCCAAGTGTAATTTTTTCAAGTAAAAAAATCTCTGAAAATGGCTGAATTTCTGGTATGTTGTAGATAGGAATGAACTGATGAAAAAATCCAATTGACCTAACCTCAAAAAATCGACAGTTTTTCGATATTGACAGGTGAAGAAAACCGAAGAGAGATGTAATTAAATGAATATTATTTAAAAGATGGTTATAGTCTTTCCGAAATCAATGGGTTTGTAAGTATACACTCTAGTCGAATTTATGCCATATATCTATTTTATTTTGATCATTCCATATATTATTAAATTCAATAGACTCCA